GGACCAAAACCCTGCTGTTTGGACTGAAGCTGAACTTACTCCCCAACCGGAGTCGGAAGCGTCGACATAGATGGTTAGGTCTGGTGTTAGTGATTTGCGTCGGATTGGAAGTCCATTTTTCAATGGAGCCTCTTTTAACCACCACTCCAGCTCCTGCCGACTTTTCTGGCTTATCGGACATGGTGCATTCCAATTGTTGTTGCGTAACCTGAGTGCTCTTTCATGAGCTTGGAGAAAACCCGAGGCGCCACATTGAGACCAAATGCTAGACTCTTGTATCGGTATACCACACCTTGGTGTAAAAAGGTCAAAAAAATCCCTGGAGTTTTCGTGTATTGGCACTACTACATATGCATCTTTTAAATCTATCTTGCACATGTAATCGTTCTTGTCTAACAACTCTCGTAAGGCTGGTACACCTTCCATTTTGAAGTGATTGCATTGGATGTACTTGTTCAAGCTCGTGCAATCCAATATCGGCCTGCGTTTGTTTGGCTCTTTCACAGTAAAGAATTTCGATAGGTAGCTCTTGCACTGAGACGGGGAACGCTCGATTATGCCTGAGTTCAGAAATTTCTTCACTGCTTCGTCCACTGCTACTTGCTCCTCTTCCGTGAACTTCATCGGAGTATATTTCCATGGTCGAGGCTTGTGGTTCCACTGAAGTTGATATCCTTGTGTTACTACTGACACAGGCCATGAATGAAGTATTGTTCGTTTCCATTGTTCTGAAAAACGTTGGAGACGACCCTCTGGTAATATACCATCGCTCGGTATGACGTAATGCGCCGTTGTCGTGGGGAAAGACGCTGGCGTTGATGGCGGTATTATTGGGGTTGACTGGAGCTTTGGGCCTCCGTGTGTATTTGGCCCTTGCTGCGTCCAAAAAAAGACCTGTGGAAGGTTCCACGGCCCCTGGTGTATCTCTGTTGACGTCCAAATCCTCTGTTATTGTTGTTAATTGATTGTTGTTGTCGTCCCACTGCATTTCTGAGGATGGACTGTTCGTATCTGGCTTGAAAAATTCTTTCAACCTCTTCTCTGCCCAAGGCCAAGGCCTTGTCACTAGGTTCTTCTTCCAAGTGTTTGACGCTATCGGGGAGCCTGAGCGCCTTGATCGCCATTGTCCTAGCTTCACTTTTGGTGGTCTTACCCGTGGCGTATGAGTAAACTGCGAGTTGTCTGATGCCTTCCATAATGTGAAAGAATTGTTCTTCGCTTCCTCCTGATTCAAGAAATTGTTGACATTCTTCGTAAAGGCCAGTTGCTGCTCTTCCTGCGATGATGAGTCGATCAGCTCCCTTGTATACTGCGTTTGTACTTTGGAGGGCATCCACAGTTTTCCTTTTAAGCTCTCTGTGGAACTCTTTGTTGAAGATCTCATTGTTGGTCCATTCACTACCTTCGTACTTTGGAAGGTTCTTAACAAATTCTTTGATGTTTTTCTGTAAATTGATGGGCGAGCTGTTCTCTAGTTCTTCCAAGATTTCGTTTGGAAGGTTTGTTGGATCTTCACCTGATCTGTCAAGATTGATTTTTCTTGACATTTCCTCAATGATTTGTTCGACTTGTTCTCTTGTAAACAATTGTTCAGATTGATCATTGGACATATTATTACCACGATGCGCGGCGCGAAAAAGATCTAAAGAAATAGGAATTAAAAAAAAATTTTTTTTATTATATGTTATCTGAAAATAAAGCGTGGCACGAAAGAGCCTTTACCACCTCATCGGAACCTGGAACGGAGGCAACAATGATTGGGATAAGTATGACTTCCAATTAAGGTTATAAATTATTGAGGACGCGATATTTCTTTGTTTATATACTCAATTCATTGCCGTTGTTAATAAAGTAACCTTTTTTCCAGCCTTGTTTAATTTTATTGACTTTTTATATAAGTCTTCATGTATCCAAGAACTTCATTTACATCACTTATGTGCATCTCTAATTCCACTGGATTGAGTTCGAGTGGGTATACTGTCAAGTAAATATACTCGTAACTTCTTCTCAGGATTTTGTTTTGCACAAGTAGTTTAGATTTCTGAACAGAGAGGTTGGTCATATCGAGGCAAAACCCTTTCATATTATGTATATCATCCAAAGCGTCGAGGAGTTCGCTAATAAATTTTGTATATTGACCAGAGGTGGTTCTTTTAGGAGAGGTTCGACGTTCGAAATACTTAGAATGGTTTTAAGGTACAATAATACAATATAATATTCTAGTTTCAATGTTATACATTTAATCACACATTGTAACAATGTAAATATTTTTTATTACTTGTCCTGAACAACTTTATTGCGTATTACCTGTAAACCCTTTCATACATGTATTTTTTATTACAATCTGTCGTTTAGAAATGCATCTTTTAAAGATAAAGGGCTTCCATATCTGCTAAACAAACCTTTGTCCAGCCCTGATGTATAACAAGCTGACCAGTTCATTTTTCCTGATAACTCATTTCTAAAATTCTTGACAAAAAACAAATCAGCGCTTTCAACAATTTCAATTGGGGTGACAGTTGCGTCTTGTTCCTTTTCGAAAAAAGTTTTCGACGTTTCTCGGTAAACTCTAATCCATTTTTCGCATAAGCTCTTATTTTTTTAGTGAGCTTTCTGAATTTTCATGTGCACAGTTCACAATTTTTTCGAACTGTTTGCTCGTTTTGTCAAGAGCATCATTTGCCAAATCGGATAAGGTAGTTTCAATTGTAGCATACTGTAGAAAAGAGCGATAGGCGATTTTGTATATTTTTCTGAGCTCCTCATCTTCACTCTCGTCCAAAGCCATGATACTTTTTTGTTGACTGTATAAAAAATAAGATAATGCTACAATAGGTGTCATAGTAGATTCATCATTTATAAAAGATGAAATTGAGTCCAAACAGTAGAATTGAATTGAATGTGCCCAGTATTGTTTGTGTGTTGTATAATAAAGATCACCCTCCTCTCTAGCGAAATCATTCATAAGAGCTTTATTTGAAAATCCCTTAATAGCAAAGACGATGACTTTTGGAAATACTTTGTACGCATCATGAACGTTCAAACAGTATCGATTAATTCTTTTTATGAAAGGGATATCAATAATTTGTTGCATTTCAACAATTATTGGCAAGGTAGTTTCTGTTGGCTTATTTGTTTTAGGAATGTAGAGAATGTCGGATTTCCTCCCGTCAGAAAACTCATCAGAGGAAACACAATATAAAGAACCGTTAACATGGCCATCTAATGTAAAAGCAATTAGGAACTTCCAAAATTCTGTTAGTCAGTATTGAAATATAATCTTACCAGTAGCTGCCTTAATAACGATGTTTACAATTTCATCTTCCCTAAAAAGTAATTTACTTGAGAGATCAGGCCCTGGGCGCCTTGGTAGAGTTATAGTAAGAACGTCAATAAGATCGTCATCAAGATTAGAATTTTCTAAACAAAACTATGAGATTCTTTATGCTTGAAGTTGAAAACATTGGTTAAGACAAAGCTGGTGGAGACGCTGGCGTGTTGGCAACTTACGATGGTAATATCTCCAGAGCACGGTGTGCGCCTGGTGTGGGAAGGAAGACAACCAGAAGGCGCGCCATGCCGTAGCAGGACCACGCGGATAGTGGGCCGGTAAGACATCAATGGGGAGTAACTGTGAGATCCGGAATAGCTTGAGTGATATATGATGGAAGTCCAAGGCTCCCGGTAGCTCTACCGTCAGTAGATCTTCAAAGTTAGGTTGAGGCATTCGATAGAGCGTATATTGGAAGTGGCCGTCTGGTCTGAGGTTGTGCGGTGTGAACAAGGCTGCAATGGAGGAGTGTACTGGACTCTGGCCATCTGCTAGCCAGGAATGGAATCAGCTTACTCGATGTTTAAACCTCGTGTTTGACAAGTGAGATCTTTGTCTCAGGCAGTTGTGAGTTGGGCTATATTCAATTCTTTCTGTCTTATTTTCTTTTACTAATAACTTTCCAGCCAATCATAGGCAACTGGTTGTAATGGATTTACAAGCCACGGTAGATATGCAAGCCTAAGACCCCATATAATTAATTAGTGCAATGGTTCTTCCGCATAATGCTCGTAAGCCACCCAATAGGGTTGGTTACCAAGATCACAAATAGGGTAGATCTAACTCATCGCAATCTCATTCAACTTCTCCAATTCCATACTCGAAGATCCACGAGCGATCTTCCAAAACGAGAGAAAGTTTACTTCTTAACTCGAAGCCCTCTGTGCAATCGTCTACTGCACAATCCCATGTTGATAATCCCAGTAATCAGCAAAAGATCATCATTGACACTACTCATATTGGTGTATCGCAATCGGCAGGTAGTCTGTTTTTTGACGTTTCTTCTCGTGCTGAAACGTTGCAGGAAATTTACATGGCAGCCTTCCGTCAATTCAACGATTTTGTCGGTCAACGGATCCATAGATCAGGCAATAATCGATTTTTGGAAGTTAATTTTGATATCGATGAAAATCGTGCCGCAGCCCTCAAGGCTGGTTTGACCTTTAATGATGGTTCAGTCATTATAACACCATCCGTAGCAATGAAATCAGGATCAATGATTAAACGGGTTAACCTTGATCGTCTGCCATGGCTGCGCACCAGCGATCTGCTTGACGGTCTAAAGGCTACTTTTCAGAATTATGGAGAAATTCGCGACGTCGGTGTTGTCAAAGGTGCCGACTCTGGCACTTTTTTAGGTGCAGGCTATGTTATTCTTGACTGTTCTCCTGAACTTAATACTGATAATGATGATCCATTCTTGCAGCTATCACACATCATCGAGTGGGTAAACCCCGACGGTTCTAAGAATGGTAATATTTTTATTCATGCCTATTGGAAGGACATGCCGACTTATTGCAAATATTGTCATGAGTCCGGACATTCTGCCTCTGAATGTAACAAGTCTCCTAGTGGCAAGCGAGTTTGTTTTGCTTGCCTGAAATCTGGACATATTCGTGCCAATTGTCCCGAAAAAATCAAGTCCTCTAAGGAACGCAGACGTCATCCTGTTCCTTCGGATGCGCGTCTTTCATCTGTTGTAGAAAGTTCTGCTGTTGTTCTTTCTCCTCCATTGAAGGATTTAGCTAATCCACCCACTATTCACTCGTGCGAGTCCATTGAGTCGCCCTCTCAGGTGTCCGACGTCGAAGTTGATGTTGTTAATCCTAATTCGTCCCAGTCTACAGAAGCTGAAGCCTGCTCTGACACTTACAATTTTCCTACTCGGCCCGTTAATGCCCTGTCAACGGACAACGACGTTGCGCAGGCTCACTCTGAAATTCTTACTTTGGAGACCACTAGGTCTGACTCTCCAACGGACTCCCTTCCTCCCCAAGAAGAGTCTATGGAATGTGATAATGATGAAATTGCTAAGACCACTTTACCTGTTATTAATCAATCGGCCCGCTCTTCTAATGCATCTAAGTATGCCCCTCGTCCCAAACGCAATGCTAAACCTCCTCTGCGTTATGAGGATGATTCTCGTTATCATTAATTCTATGAATAATAGAAATCAACGTAAGGCTATAAGGTTGCTCTCTTTAAATTGCAATAGTTTGTTTAAATTGAGTAAACCAAATTCACGAAAACATTTTATCCGGTACATACGTCTCAAACAACCTACATTTGTTACCTTACAGGAAGTCGACAATAGTCTGAATCCTTTAGATCATTTTAGTGCATTACACAAACAGTTCTGTAGTTCTCAATCATTTTGGAATCAATATTGCGGAATAGTCAGTCTCGATAACCAATTTCATCTAGAACAAATCCCTCTTCCTGAAGACTCCCGTTGCATCCTCACTCGAGTTTCTCATGTTAATCAGGAAGTTTCACCTTTTTTCATACTAGTTTTATACGCTCCATCTTCGTCGCCAAGAGAGCGTATTTCTTTCTTCAACAGTCTACTGGACTTTGTTCAATTTTCACCATATAGTGATCAATCTTGCATTGAACGTTTAATTATTGCAGGTGACTTTAATTACGACGCTTCCAATATTGCTTTACGTTCTTCATCTTCTCGATGTGGCTTACGCCAATGGAACCATTTTCTTTGTTGCCACTTCAGCAATGTTATGTCGGCCCTTCATTAGCTCAGTGCTCCTACATTCCGTCGAAGTGACACAACATCATCAACCATTGATTTTATTTTCTTATCATCATCTCTTTCATTGTCCTTTGCGAACGCAGTCATCGAATATATAAATCGAGAATGGACTGATCATGCACTGTTACACGTGGAGCTCTACTTGGAAACGAATACGTCGAATGGTCCTGGTATTTGGCGAGCTAATCCAATATTTTTACAAAAGGAGAATTTCTGCAATCAGTTGCACTCTCGCTTATCTTCCTACTATTATCGATGCTTACAGTCATCTCAGTTACCTCCCTCAGAACAATGGGATATGGTCAAAGAAGAGGTTAAAAAGTTTACTAGGAAGTATGGACGTAAACATACCAGCTGGAGGAAAAAGCAATTACAAGCTTTACAGTCTAAATGTCAACGCATTCTTCGAGGTAACCTCCCATACAGTGCATTGCAAGAGCATTTACCTAGGGTCGAGGCTCAAATCAAGAATTTACAGAAGGAGCTTACTGACATGGCCGTCCTCAAAGCTGAACAGATTTGGCGCGAACGTGGTGAAATAGATGCCGATTACCTAAAGCATTCGATTTCTCAGCGCCGTCGCCAGCGCCGGATTCCACATCTAATTCACCCTTCCACTGGCGATCTTTGCTCTTCCCCAGAGCAGATGATATCTGCGGCAGAAACATTCTATAAGGATTTGTATTCTCCGGAGCCCATTGACCTTCGAGCGTTGAATTTCATGCGGTCTCAAATCCCAGAAGATCTACATTTATCTTCAGAAGACAGTCAATCAATTTGTGAGCCTTTTGATTTTGATTATCTCTTCACCCAGGCTTCTCGTGCCCCACGGCAAAGTAGACCCGGACCAGACGGTCTCACTTATAGATATCTTATGCAGATTTTACGGCATCCTCTTTACCAAGGCTTGGCATTACAAGTTTACAACAATTCTCTGCCTCAGTCTGTGTTCCCTTCTACTTGGCTTGATACATGCGTCGTCCTTTTACCGAAAAAGAATGACTTAAGATTGCTCAAAAATTGGAAACCTATTACTTTAATTAATTGTGATGCCAAGATCTTTACCCGCTTGCTCAACTCTCGCCTAGGCTCGATGGTGGACTCTCCTATCTCCCCATGGCAGAGTGGTTTTATGAAGAATCGCTTCATCGCTGATAATGGAGCTCTAGTTAATATCGCAATTGAACAAGCTTCATAAGAAGCTCTGAAGAGGTTGGTTTGCTCTGTGACCAAGAGAAGGCATACGATCAGGTCCATCCTGTGATATGTCTCGAATATATGAAGAAGTGATAAGGGAACTGTGTGTCGATGAGTCTCTATATAACCTCTTTATTGTATATTAAGACGAGAGAGAGAGCTCATTATTACAAACAGCGTCATTTTATATGAAGATAGAATTATTAAGGAACCGATTTAATTATGTCCAATAATAGTTGGGCATATCACGTTATATGTTAATAACATGTATTGTTGTCAGTATCTTTGTATTATTCATTCTTAGAGTATAGATTTATAGTAATCTCATACGACAAGATCAAGCATTTATAAGATAAATACGACACATCCCCTTTATCTGAACACAGTTTTACGAAGGTTTCGATTTCCTTCCGCTTTTATTAATGCAATTGACAAGTTGTTTTATTCCACTACTATGCGTTTGAATGTCAATGGGTTTATTTCTCCGGGATTCAGACTCGGTGGCGGTTTAAGGCAAGGGGATCCCATTAGTCCTTTATTATTCAATCTAGTGCTGGAACCTTTTATTCGCTCTATTTTATTTGGTGGAAGAATTCATGGCTTTGATGGTCCTTCACCATCCCTAAGAGCACTTTCTGCACCAGTGCAAGGCCCTCCAACTCTTTCTTCGCTTAAGGTATTGGCTTATGCAGATGACCTTTGTGTTTTTCTTCGGAATCAGGAAGATTTACGAGCCTTTCAGGAGCTTGTACGACTGTATAATCTTGCTTCGAATTCAAAAATGAATTACGACAAAACTATTGCTTTCTCGCTTTCTGTACAACCGTCTCCTAGCTGGCGCACAATTCTTTTCACTGCAGACATCAGTCAGTGGCATGATCGCACCTCTGACGAGCCTCTGAAGTATTTGGGCTACCCGATAATCCACTCTCATTCGCAACGTCAAATTTTCTTGCCTGATCTGGTTGCTAGGCTTAAGCGTAGCTGCGATGTGCACAAATGTCGCAACTTGTCTGTACGTGGACGCGCGACCGTATTGAATACACTTCTTCTCTCCAAAATATGGCACGTGTTACGAGTTACTTGGAATCCTAAGAAAACTTTGGATAAAATTACCTCCATCGGCCGCCAATTTGTTCAACATCATCAATTTCCTTATATCAGCTACAATGTATTGCTTCAACCTACACAACACGGTGGCCTTGGTCTTCTCGATCCTGCGATTCAACAAAGCCTTCTCGCATATCGGTGGCTCACGCCATTTCTGTTGTCTGAGGCTCCTTCAGCTATTGTGGCTACATGGATGTCTGCCCATATCTTAAGCACAGCTTCTTTTACTCTACCAGACGGTCGTTTGCCTTTCTTCTTCCCTTCCTTACGGCAGGGTCTATTGCATCCTTCTCGTCCCAGCCTTTGTTCGCTATGGTTCCGCGCTTTTGACATTCTCCCTGGTTTACAGAAGCATAAGCTTTCCTTGGGGACGGATATGTCACAACCCACTCCAATCTCAGCGTCTGTCTCTATGGTATTACCTCTTTCTGAGGGTCCTTTGTTGCTCAAGCGCTCCTCCTACTCAAATATTCAGGTGCAAGATGCTTTCATTTTCGATCCTCAACTGCAATTTATACGACGCAGACTAACAGCAGAAGAGAAGCGCGTTGTTAAACGCGGACGTAACCGTGTTGTTCGATTGTATCAATTGTTAGACTCGCACTCTGTGTGCTTATTACTTTTCCTCTCTCGTCTAATGCTGCCTTCTCAAATTGGCTTACATGATGGTGCTTTGGGTCCAACCACCATCGATGATACAATTCTGCCGTTGGTCACCCCATTAGTCGATCATCAGACCCAGCTAATCCAGCCTTCTCACATGCGAAAGCTTATTCGTAAAGCATCTCTTTCGCAAGCTAAAAAATCCTCAGTCGCACTAGGTAATTCAGCCAGGTTTTGGAAAACCTTTTGGCGCATGGATATCCCTTTGCCGGCTCAAAACGTTTGGTTTTGTTTGATTCATGGTAAGCTGCCTGCTGCTTCCAATCTACACAAGATCATTCCCTCTTTCTCTCCTTTCTGCCGTCTGTGCAATCGGGGTTCGTCTTCAGAAACCACTTGTCATTTCTTAATTGACTGTAGAAAAAAATACCTCGCTTGGAAGCTCATTTGGGCCCACTTCTTCCCTTTGCCCTCATGGTCACGCCATTCACTACTGCAGGCAATCTTACATCTCAATTTCCCTCAACAGGATTCAGTGCAATCTCTTGATTCCTATAGCATCTTTGGATGCAGCTTGTTGATGATATGGAAAGCACACTGGCGTTTTATTTTTGATTCTACGCCCTTCGTACCTACCCTGGTGCTTCAAGAAGCTATTCGAGTGATGCAGTCGTTAGCCCCTCCAAGGACTGACAACCTCAATTCTTCATAGTTAGTATAGTATATTGACTTTATTTCCTTTTTTACTTTATTTTCTTGTACTTCGATTTTCCTAGTTCACCGCTGCCTTTGGTACGTGGCTTATAAATAAATAGAATTTGGCTTTTATGCCCCTACAAAAAAAATATATAATTAATTAGTGCATCTACTGCTCTTTATGTACTATCCTTGATCTACGCTTTTATATGACAACATCCTATGCTGAGCCTTCTTGTTTCCAATATGTTATATGTACTATGCTATGGTTCTTTTTATTATGCATTTAGTCAATATCGTATTATGCTTCATTTTTAATTATTATACTTCGAGTTTTGTGATCTTGGTTGTTGTAATCATTCTTTTCTTTATTAGTTCGAATTGTACAACGTAAAATAAAATACAGTAGTATAAACTTTTTTTTTTATCCTTTATCTTCTTGAGTGGGAATGGAAACAACAGAAACAAACCGAGAAGAAACAGGAAGAGGAGGGCGGGAACAATCAAGATTACTTAGCTCTCGTGTAATTATGATGATACTTCATAAATTCGTATACTACATCAAAACTTAAGTCCACAGTTAGTTCCAATTGAAGTTCGAAGGGTGTTCCAAATTAAGTTGAATGTCGTTCCTAATTCAACCTTAGTTGCCTCCATTTCGACTTCAGATGTGGTACTAAGCTCTCTGAGCCGCGCTTTTTTATTCATAGTTTTAAATTAATAACAATAAAATTCAAAGTTTTCTATATTCTATATCTCTTTATAGCTTTCTAAGCCGCACATTCGTGGAACTAGTTATGGAGCATATCACAAACATTAATGAAAATGTGGCACGAAATCAACAAACTATCACACTTACCAACGAACAATTGGAATTACTCCTCAATGAATTTGTTTCGAAGATCAGAACAGAAGAAGCAGACAGAAGGCAAGACGATAACAATGAACTCCCTTCCAGCATCCTATCCGAAATGGAAGAAACTCCCTCGGCTGACATGCGCATCACGATCAAACGATACGCACGGGATATCCCCTTCTATGATGGTGGATCCTGGACAAGATCAGAAGTCATCAACAAAAGTTTTGTTAATTACCTCAAGAGATACAAAGTGGGTGCCCATTCAACCGTTTCCCAAAAATACAAAGATGCTGATAGACTTAGACTTGCAGCCAGAGTGTTATAGAACGAAGATTATAATTTCCATAATAAGTAAAGACAGAGTCTGTGCGTAGTCAATAAGGAATATAAAGTGATTTATAAGCACTATTCCAATGCGTAGTCTTTATAATAAGAATACCCAATTAGAGTAACTTAGTAAGCATCCAGATCATTCTCGTAAGCCAGGCACCGCAGCTTTAACCATTACCATAGCAGAACAAATCAAATCGTACTTTGATTTAATCCACATCAAAAAGTATAAATAGAGCCCTCTTTTTCATTGTATTTTGTATTATCTGAATTCTCAGAAATAAACGAATTCTCACAAATACTTGTTTGTCCCTGTCTTTTGTCTTTTATAACATAAATCCACCTCAAATTATCTCAGGATACACCAACTATTAAAACAACTGGATATTTTTCATATCTTTTATATACCAAAGTAGAATATTTTACTGCACGATACATATACTTTTCATTAACATCCTTTTGAACCTCTATCATTATTGGAGGATATTCACTGTCGATGGCTTTGGGAAGATATAGAACATCGCAAGCACATTTGTTCAAGAATTCATTTGGTGCAGCGGTATATTGATCTTCTGGGGCGTTAACCAAATTTTTACTGGTAATATTGATAATTCTGGTATCAACTAGTACTGCCTTGCTTATTAGGTCACTTCCAGGAACATGTTCTTTCGGTAGTGAGTAATCAGTAACGTTATGTTCTGATTCTTCTAAATCACTATTGTGTGTGTGAGAGAAAACATTTATAATTGCACAATACATTTGACTTACCTTCAAAGAAATTGTTGCTTGTTTCAAGATGAGCGTAATCCGTTAAAATGTTAGATTCAGTCATAGGAAGATGAAGAAAAAAGAATGATTAAAAAAAAAAAAAAACTACGGTACGGTACGCTTTTTATATTGTTATTTTCCTTTAGAGTTGTAAGAGTTGTTAATATAGAAAGTTTCCTTGAGATTTTATAGGTTTAAGTGCTTGGAGTGACCACCAGATCTTGTAAAGTTGATCAAACTGTGAAGTATAAAGTAAAATAAAAGATAAAAAGAAGAGATTAGGAACTTTTATAACCAAAAAGGTTGTCAGTTTATTGTATAAGATAAAATAAAAAGATAAGGTGAACTGCTTGTTCCATTTTTTTGAGTCTTGGGTTTATATACTTTTTTTTTTTAGAATTTTTGTTGGCTTTCCTTTCCTTGAAATCAGCGGTTGTTGATAAGTTAACCTTAGTTGTCAAGGTTCAGTTCCACAGAGTTACCCTTTTCAACATCTTTTGCGTTACGCTTTTTTTTATTTTATTTTTTTTTTTTGGTACGGTACGGTACAGTTAAACAGTCTTTTATTTACAATTAAAGCCTCAAGTGGGCGCACGATAATAATAATATACCTTCTTCGCCCGAGGCAGGTCAAAAGAAAATAAAGAATTGGTAACTAAAAAACCCTTATGAGATCAAGGGTAAAAAAGTTATGGAAGAAATGATGTTGGACCAAGTGTAAGATACACCTCTAAAAATATTAACTAGTAATTTCCATTCAAAATATTATATACTTTTTAACTTTAGCATAAGCAAACGTGATACCGGCCAAGAAGCTCTTCCAAATAGTTTCAGCTGGAATCATTTCGCCAAAGATTTGCTGATCCATTATGTTGACAGCCTCTGCTACAACAATTGACTTGGAATCTTCATCTGTACTAGAATAAGTAATTGCATTAACACAGTTGTGAATCATCATGCCTACGATAATGACTGTATCGATTTGCTTGCTTAAGAGATATTCTTTAAGATCGATATGATGAAAGCCATCAGAATACTCTTTGAAAATAACTTTCTCTGGATCTAAAGACTTGACAGTTTCATGAAACTCTGCACCGCGAGTACCCTTGACTAAGAAAGGAAAGAACGATTGCTGTTCAGGCGTTGTGTGATGAGCAACATGGATAACTTTTTTACCGTCTTGTCTGAACTTACCCAAGAGCTTTTTAATTTCACTAGCAGTTTTCACGGGTCTCCAGGTTGGCAAACCTCCATCAGGGAAATAATCGTTTTGAACATTGACGATCGCGAGAGCTTTTTTCATATTGTTTATTATTTGTTTTTTAATAGAAAACTTTTTTTTGGTGCGGGCTACTCTATGCTAATGAAGTTTTGGGGGAGGAGATAAGAGAAACTCCTTTTTAAAATTATTAATAGACTTGAAATATGTTTTGATCTTGATAAAGCAATACAACCTATTATATAGAAACCATATCATTAATATTCAATTGGAAACCTTTGACGCTGTTAGTCATTATAAGCATCATTACGAAAGCAGATAACTTAGTGTGAATATTAAGTTATCTTTAGGCGCTCGTCAAAATTTACCAAGCTATTACACTCACTATAGGTTCACTTTAAACATTAATGGTAGATCTACTTTGACAATGGCTAAATCAACTAGTATTCTATATTTCGCGTTACACAGAAATGAATGCAGTTGTCTTTCTGTAATATTAGTCATTCTCTCACTATTTAACTGATAGAATCTTCACGACATTTTTCTTTACTTCTCTTCATCTGAATCAGGAAATTAGTTGGATTCTGCCAATCGGGTTTTGTACCTTTCAGCTTAGTGGTTAGGCACGCACATACGTTTCTGGGATTGGTTTCATAAGCTTCTTATATATGATCAAACGCTATAGGCTCTGTGGCTTCGCTCCCATTCAATAATAATACATAATAAGAGAGAATTAAACAACAAAACAACAGTGATGTGTGATCTCATTGCTCACCAATCATAAAAAAAGGTAATTTTAGCGATCAATAATAATACAAGTTATTTTACATATACAGCTTATACATCGCTGTTGGTTAAATTCTGTAAGAGTACTATTCACAAGCAAAACGTTGAATTAATGACTGCTGTATAAGCAATCGATTAGCCCAAAGCCAAAATAACGATTTTATACGTTTTTAACCATCTTTTTTTTTTTTTTTTATGGCAAAGAGTCATCTCCCTTGAAGTCAATGGATTATGTGTGATGGCCGGGTTATTCTCTTTCGGTGTACGTAAATGTAGCACTGTCGATCATCTAACTCTTGTGTCTATTCTTCTACTGTTGTTGTTACAAGTGCCCCAACAGGTTGTTCTTCAGTGACCTTCAATCCTTACGCCTCCCCATACTGCTCCACAGGCATCGTCTCTTCCCTGTTACCTACTGGACGTTAAATGAAATTTTAAAACTCTCCAAAAAAAAAAAACATTCAAGCGATTGAGCTCTCGTGACACTGATAAACTTGAGCTTCGATTCCATATAAAAAATGTTTTTGATCATTAGGTCATGCTATGTGATGATCCTATTTTTGAAAACAAAACTTACCACTTTTTTTTTTGGTTCTTGTCGTCTTTATAACAATGTGTGACACGTTCTGTAACACAAACTCTCCTCAAGCATTTACTAAGGCATGCATTATTTGTTCGAAAAGCAGGCCAAAACATTGTGATAGCCTATAAGTAACTAATCAGCTGTCACCATAGAAACCCTTATTTTAATTTCAGTGGATATGGAAACAGTGCGTGCAAGATTATAAATAAAAAGCACAGACCCCGATTTCTTCCGTCTTTTTTATCGAGAAAGGGCTTGCGTGACGCAACTTTAGGTTTAAGACGGACCCCGCAAAATAACAAAAAAGTTTTATTATCGCTTACTCTCTTACTCTTGCTCTTCCTTTCTGTCTGTCGAATTTTTGCAACTTTTTTTTTGTCAACCACCCTTTCTACCTTTACTTACATTGACCTTATTAAAAGATCCCAATGGCCTTCAAGTTTAATTGGCCAGAGTTCGATGCTGAATTCTACAAAGAAGCACGCTCACAATTAGAAGCTGCTTTGAATAAAGGAAATAAACCAAAGAACATTGTCGATTATATTTCTGTTAAAGAGTTAAATATGGGAACAACTGTAAGCCTATAAAATAGGATTAACCATAATCGTTATTCTTATAGTTATCACCATAGGCACCTGAATTGGAAATACTAGAAATAGGAGAACTTTCAACCGATAAGTTTCGAGGCATATTCAAGTTAACTTATTGCGGTGATGCTTATATTGTTATACAGACAAAAGTTCAGGTATGGATGGATTAATATATAAAAAAACGTGATAATAACCTCTTTGATACCTTAGGCCAATCCAATGCATGCAAACGAATCCGATTTACCCCGACATACTCGACCAACTGTACTAGCAGCAGATCAACCACTTATTGTACCCATGTTATTAAGGATTAGCGACCTTAAATTGAGAGGAATCATTGTGCTTGTAGTGTCCAAGGCGAAGGGCATCACGCTCGTGTTTAAAAATGATCCGCTCGAAAGCATTGTTGTGAGTTCAACCTTTGATAGCATTACGAGTGTTCGATCATTCTTACAACGCGAAATTGAAAACCAATTGAGGAATTTATTTCAAGAAGACTTGCCCGTCATGATACATAACCTAAGTTTACGTCATATTCAAAAAGAACAAGAGAAACAAGCAAAACGAGAACAAGAGGAATGGTTACAGACACAAAGACTCGAGATTATGAAAAAGAATGCTAAAAATACCCGATCAGTCTTTTCTGATCCAGGAATTCGACGTAGCAACACGATGTCATCAGCGTCTGTTAATGCCATGCACAGAACTACCACAACTACAGCAGGAACATCGGCAACAGCCATTCCGTCTCCCACAAATAACCGAAAGCATTTTGATGCTTTATCGATGCCGGACCTTGACACCTCATCCACGCCTGCCTCATATGCACCTTCTCGGTTTCCTTCCTCCTTTTCATACAGCCAGGACGTACCGCTGTCACCGCTGACGAACCCTTTTAGACGATCTTACAATAGACAAATGTACAGTAGTTTTAGTGATTTATATTTTATGAATGAAACATCTGGCGAGAATATGAACCAAGCCGAGCTGCTTTCGACATCACCCGAAGCAGTCAGCTTGGACGGACAGCCGTTTGGAGGCAACAAGGGCATTCCTGTCACAGCAGCCAACCTGTCGACACTAAATGAACTCTACAGTAGCCGATTTGCAGCACTAAAGACGCCACCTTATTCCGATTTTGGTGACTCACAAACGAACAAGATGGGAGAAGATGAATGTTCCTATGAAGATTATTATGATGAGTCATCTGTGAACTCGATGATCGCTGCAGAAATGTATGCAGATGATGTGGATGCACCGTGGTATATCACAGAAGGACTGGAAACTCATTCGGCAAGAGACAAGGAGAAGACATTGACAATGATGCCGATGGATGAGGATATTGTGTTGAATCCCAAAGAGAATACAGTCGCGGCAAAACTGGCCCAGTTAACAAATATACATCACACCATATCACCCTTTACACATACAATAGATCACTTTACTTACCGTTCTTTACCGCACACAGTTAAAGTCGATGTGAAATCAAAACTTAAAAAGAAACCAAAGCGACGTATCATTCGGCTCAACACTCAGTCATCAACTACAAGCGCATAGCAAAGATAAAACTTCAAGCATTTACCAACTCTTATATATATTTATACTGTATACCTTATTTATTTGTTACAAAACGTTTCCTTATTTTACAAACATGTATTGACAGCTTTTATATACATTCCTTTTTTCTTTTTTCTTTTTCATACCAACTTAACTACACTCAAGCGATGGTTGCTTTCAACCTTTTCTTTATTGACAACATATATTTACACATAAAATAATGAAATAAAGCTTATAGATCTCCATCTTTTGAAAAAACAGTACAAACCAAGATGATTTTTATAATGTGGTCAACATTTTATTACAGGATATTGATCAATTGCAAGGTATTCACTATAACTAGTTTTTGACTTTGGCTTTGTTTTTTATTTTGTTTTTTGTTTTTTGTTTTTTTTTTTTTTTTTCTTTACTTTTTGCTCTTTTCTTCTCTGGATTAAAACATAAGACCAGCTATTCCCCAGTTAGCCCTAAGGTATGTTATACTCTTTACTCTTGTAGGAAACTGATATGTGGTATTATAGATTGCCATCGAAAATAACCCAGTAATAGCTGAGGGATGGCTTGGTTCTTACCAGCTTTATCCCATCGACTTTCTACTATGCTCTTCATCTTCTCCGGGCCAGTTATTGCTGGTCCTATATAATACACTTTTGGTAAGATATTACAAGTTTACTCACTTTTCTTACTTCTGTCTTTCTCTTATAAATTCTCTTCTTTATAATGTAAGCATCTCATGACAGCGTAAAAACTAGGATGTCACAGTTAGGCCTCGATTCTGTCATAATCCTTGGTGGGTAGATGTAGCGTTCCCGAATCAAGGTTATTCCAGGACAGAGTTCATATTCAATTTTTCTCATAAATGATATTCCAGAATTGCTTCTATTGGACTCTCTTTCGTCATTGCTTGCCTTTTTTCTATCAGTGTGCGAATAAAGTGTCACTCTTTTAAACCATGAATGTGATTTGATTTATTAGAATGGTGTCTTGATTCATCACAAAACATCTTTGAAGGAGTGATCATTTCGTATCTCAAAATCTTTTTTTTCTTGTATTAAACTGTGACCATACTAGGTTCGCATTGGCTGTATTGAGCTTGTCCATCATCTGAATAAAAAGAAGTATAGGTACGCCATGCATCGCTACAGTTAACCTAACCATCCTTGGAGAATCTATAGACGTTGGATAGAAGAGGAGCATAAGTTCAAAGAGATTTCATCACGCCAAAAACACATACTCCCTTCCCTACTAACGCCGTATTTATACCTTCAAAGCTTGCGTTTCGCCACTCTAGATATAGTCACAGCATTCGGTATTACTTTAATCTAGACACAGTTTACTATCCGCATTTTTGCTGAATCATCACTGATGACTCTCTCTCTTTTAAGGAATATGATGCAAAGTGAAGCAATGATTTTTTTTTGAGAGGTTGCTTTGTAATTAAACTGGTGAATGTTGTATAAAACGACTTTTTTATAAACGATTTACACACGGTAACTTTTTTATTCCGAAAAGAATAACATACAGACATACATACATACATACACACACACACATTTTGAGAAGAGAATAATATCTATAGAGTGGTATCCATGTCATCTATTGATAGTGGCTGTGTATAGTTTAGTAACCACCACCAGATAGCTTCATAACAAAAAACGAGCTGCCTTAGTGTCTGCACCATGCTTAATCTCTGTTCTCTGAAACGAGATATTGTTTCAAGCAAGATATCTGATTTAGGATTACAGTCTGTATTACACAATCGATAAATGACAGTATCGATGGCACAAAAGGCTCCCGATCGACCACAACCTGCAGAACAGTGAACGATCATTGGACCGACTTGCTGATTAGCTGCCGAATACTGCTTTTGTGCTTCGTCTGCCATTTGAATAATTTGTAATGTGCCCAAAGGATTATCAGGTACACCAAAGTCCATCCAGCCTGTATACTGCAGGTGACTGATCGTTCTGCTGCTCTCGCCCCTAGAAAGGGTCAGCTGTCTCACAATGATCGCATCATCTTCATTCTTATTTGATTCGTCTAGACCCTTGACAGGACGCACTGTTTCACTCACGAGTGTAACCGTGACCTGACCATATTGAACAGGCTCGTTTATCTTGGAAGGCCAGTAGCGATGACATTTGATCTAGACAAGGATTTAGTAACTGCATAGTGGATCATACACGCAAAAAAAAAAAAATACCTTGTTCATCTCTTCTTCCTTTGTCAGCATCACCAGTACACGGGAATCCTGTTCCCAAACAACCTGCCAGAAATCATTGAAAGTGGCAGGCAATGGACCTTGTGTGGAGATGTATCGTCGGTAAGGGGATGTACTACTCGATTTATGATCTGTCATGGCCTTTATACAATGTGTATCTACCGTCTCTGGACGTGCATCTGAGATGGCATCTTCAGAATCAATATATTGAAGGTAACTAGCATTGATGTAATCTGAGCTCTGATGCTCCTTAATCTTGACTCGAGTGTATTCTATAGAACGATAAGTGATTATGGTCAATTTGTAAGAAAGATAAGTTACCATATGGCCAAATGTTTGTGTATCTGTTTAATGCGCCCATTTCAATACCAGCGACAATACTAAATGGAAACTCAGATGGATTGCTTGTATGCTTTGAATGAAAGTGCATGATGTTTTGAAGTCGTCTTTGCTCTGTTCGTTCCAATTTCTATATATTTATACACAAATAAGATTAGAAAATAATAATAAGAAAAAAAAAAAAAAAAGCAGCCATGTTACCTCATAACTTTCGGCTAAGACCTTGGGTCCTTGTTCTTTAATTATGTTTTGTAACCAAGTAGGAGCTCTAAAGCAATTGCTATGTTCTGGATCCATATGTCCACCTGCTATGCAACGTGGTGCTCTGTCTATCTGAATGTGATCTTCATTTTGTGGATCGACATAACACTTGGGTGGTAATCTCACAGGAAATCGTTCTCGAATAGGACCATGCGATAGTTCCATATTCTGTCGAATGTTTGAAAAGAAAGGATTGAATGCTTGGTTTTCAAATTGTGGCATAGGAGCAGTAAATGGACCTATACTCGGTGTGGCCATAGGCAAATTGTTTAAGCGAAGACCAGGGCGTCGACTACCCGTGCCGTTGAGATTCAAGGCAAAGCCTGAAGAGCCACCGATGGTAGTGGGTGGTCCGATAGGCATTGTGTTATTAGCCGAACCATAGGTAGGACTGGTTGGATTTGACTCGATTTGGTCATTGTGCTGTTCAGAAAAGGCATCAAAGCCACCTAACGATGAAGGTTAACTCTATTATCTTTTTCAGGAAATTCCCTCTTTTAATACCTTTTAGATAATGCAGCTTTCCCTTAAAACCTGAATTGACCAACTTTATGCTTAAATAAGCACAAGCACTATTTTCTTGTAGCTGCTGAGATTGTTGATCATAGAATATGATATAATCAGCTGTTTGCCAGCTTCGTAGCTTCTCCCTTGCACCTTCAAGGACAATAGCTTCATAGACCTTATCTAACGTGAATGTGGGTCGCTTAAGGATTGTGTTTGGTATAGAAACATTAACCGAGTTATGAATTCTCGAATGAGAGAATTGAACAAAAGAACGAACGTCCAAGATGAGCAGTGATTTTGGTTTTTGCTTGTAGTTGTTGAGTAAGTCATTTAACTGTTTCGGCTCAATAGGTGTAATAAAGGATAGTGACTTTGGTTCGCTTTGTGATGAGGCACTTTCTGGCCTTTGTTGTTGTTGTTGCTGTTGTTGTAATTTCATTCTGCGATTTGCTATTGAACCCATGCTTAACATTGGCGCTTTCTGTTCAGTTGAAGGGCTGCTTAGAACCGTTGGTTGTGATGCATGGCGAGCTTGGATAGCATTGAGGAATTCTTGATTAAGCATAGGATTGATTGGAGCAGTATAATATGGAGTATTTGCAGTTGAGACGTCATTGTTATTATTATTGCTGCTAGTAGGATCACCTGAAGTATTTTCGGTTGATAATAGAGAAGGTACGTTGAGTGGAGTAAAATAGGCATCATTTGTTTGCCCTCCTCTGTGTGTAGGTGACTCAAAAGTCAAGCTCATATCTGTTGTTGTTTTTTGCTATTTGAAAAGAGAGAGAAAAAAAAAGGAGGGAGTGTTAGAAAAAGGATCCTTTTTTTTTTTGGAAGCAAGCTTTCTTTTCTTCTATTTTTGTGGCCCAGACTCAGTTTTTTGTACAACTAAATAATGTCGTCATAGTATTTCCATTTATAGTAATTAGCCTTGTACCAGATCTAGAGTCTACTCGAGACGTTCCAATAAAAAATGTAATTTGCTTGTCGTGGATTAAAAATTAAAAGAGTGTTTGATCCATGGCAATTAACAAGCTTAATAGTCCACTTATATCATCCAATAAGTATATAATTGGTTGTGAGGATACCCAGGTCGAGATAATACGTATATTTTAAATATTGTGTTTTTTTTTTTGTTTTATGAGAATTAACTTTCATAACGTCAATAAACGTTTTTGTAAAGACTTTGATAACAATGTTGTCATTGACCGCAGTTATGCAAGAGATACAATGACACATATCGAGTAATAAGGCATCATATACAAATAGATCATAAAAGCAAAGAGCATAAACCGTATGAGTACATGCTGTCTGCAACCATGGTTACAAAAAAAAATTACTTTTCTTACAGAAATGATGCAATGAGAAGAAAATTCGCTAGCTGTTCTTCATCTTTAAAGATGAAATACATTCTGAATGGAAACAAAAGGATGGATTGTCAATAATATCGTTTTGCTCCTATAGGAAAAACATCCATTAATTGGACAAAGTGGATCTTTTAGGCAACAAGAGATATTAAAGAGCAGTCGTAAAAGGATATTTCCTTTGAGATGCCTTGAATGCTTTTCTTTTTCTTGACTCATCCGGGCATACTTAATTTTGCTCTAAGGATTGATGACTTTATTGTGATTTAAACACTCTTTGCGACAAATGCTAAATAAAAACCAATTAAATTACATTAGCCAAACACCTCATAAAATCAAGCATACCATAGCCATTTTATACCAACTGTTGGAGTGTCAAAACGATCCAGTTAATCTTTTTTTCAGCAATCGTTATGCTTCATCATTCGCGTCCATGGCTTTTAAAGCCAATATCGCAATCAATATAAACCCACAAAGCTGTAGCGACACAGAAAAGCTTACCGTCAATAAAACTGATCCTACAGCAATGAAAATTAACCGTTGGCAAGAGAGGGAGAAGGATGACTTGTGTAGACAATAAAAATACATTTGAGCAGGATGACCTGGTAATCAATAAACCGGCGTAGCACCAAGGAATTCTTCCTGGGTGGTTTTATGCAAAATCATTGCCTTCTGCTTTTATTAAAATAACTTTATTAACCACAGTTTCATTTTTGGCTATCGTAGGCTTTTATTCTTGAGTTTAGTAACTTTCGGATGAACCGACAGCTGTCCCCACATCTTTTGTTATTCTATCAGAATTTCTTTACTTAGCGTAGAATGTTTGATCTTTTTACTTTTTAGGATTAGAAGCCTGCGGATCTCAAAATGCTTCTAAGATGCCGAGACGAGACTTTTTTTTTGAAGACAATACATGCGTACAGTGGCTGATTTATTTAGTCAATTGTATTAGAATGTGATTGGAAATCCATAATGCTTTTTTTTTTTTTTCAGTTGCAAGTGTCATATGCTGTAATGATCTGTACAGTCAATTTTATGTGTACAGTGATTTGCGTTTGAAAATCAAGATTTTCTAAAATAGAAATCAAGCTTTTTATTTGACCAATCAAGAGTTTCTTAGCGCGTTCAAACTTTTTGTCGGCCAATCAATTGTTTTTTAACCCAATCAAATTTTCCATTGCCATTCAACTAATGATCAAATCCAGCACTTAAATATGATTCCAGGCAAGACCATAGTTTCTCTCTCATTTTATTCCAACCCCTTACCACCCTTCCATTGTATGTCCCTTTAATGTTAACAATGGATCACTTTTCTTACGATCGTAAATCAATATATCGCCATCTCTTTGTTTGGTTACAATAATATTAGGTTGGTCTGGTTGATAACGTGCTCGATTCACTTCTCCAGGATGATTGAGTTTTTGTGTAATGTACATTTTGGTTTTTGCTCTACTTGTTTTTTTTTGTAAATACTATATTTGGGCAGGTCCTGTGTCCCTGGACTGAGCTTATTTTGTGAAAAATACCCTCTCAGTCTCACCCCTCTGCGATGTGATGACTTATTAATAACTACAATGAAATAAATTAAATTTCATTTACTACAAAAAAAAATGTTGTCTTTTCTTTTAGTTTTATATTACCTTCATGCGTACTTCCATTTACCCAGGCGCTGATGCTTTATATACAAACCAAAAAACTTGAAATATGAAGTCAGCAAGAAGAAACAAACAATATGAACGAAAGCAAGGTAACACAGCCTAAATACAACTTATCAAAATAACTAAAACTGTTAAAAAGGAGTAAAAAGAAAAGTGGATAGTCGCTTCTACTTCTAGAACTCAAATTGCGGTATGCGGTTCGTGTAACAATAGCGGTCACGCATCAGCCAGGAGCAAAGGTTGTTCAAACCACAATTTTACTTTAAACGAATTGATTTAAAGAAAGCTTGGGAACAATCATCAAAGATATACCGTCTCTCTCCCTTTAAAACTCTTTTTAAACGAGGAAAATGAAGGTGGAATTGAAAAGTCATTACTTAAGATCAAGGTCCATTCTGGTTTTTTGCGTTATGTGGCGTTCAAAGCCCAAATTTTCGCCAACTACTACATTTTAAAGTATTCAAAAGACCTGTCCAGTGATATATTCCGACAAAACTTCTGGTATTCTGTATACAGAGTAGTTTACAAGACATCGTCCGTTGAAAACTTTCAAAAACAATCCTCGGAAATGCCCTCGCTTGCTGATACATGGAATGAGTTGAGCAATATGGAAGGTGTAAACTTAACAGTGGCAAGAAATGGTATAAGCAATTACGGTCAAGTAATATCGACAACATGTGAAACAATTGCAACATCGTACAATAATTACTATGTTGAAAGCTTCCAAAATACCACTGCAAACTACTTTATATATACGATCAGCACTACTTTCCCTGTAAGTACGAAAATAAAAGTAAAGTAATGCAAACCTTGTAATCTATATATGTAGGTTGCGAAAGTATCCACAATCAAGTATCTTGTTTACCAGCATATATTCAATGAAGTGTTTTCTCTTCAGCTTAAAACAGTTGAAATTCCAGGTGATATCCTTCCTTCTACAAAACAAGATGACAAACGTAAAATCCAGGGTTTTGTAGGCAATTTAATTTTCGAGATAAGAAACCGTCTTCCGTTGTTTCCAGTGACAAAAGAAACATTAAACAAAGCACCTTTTGGTATCATGCCGGCCTTAAGGCACATGCTTTCCAAATATGAAACTCTGATTGCCAACAACCCAAATCCTCAAATCCAAGAACCAGAACAGAAACCACATGACAAATCAAATACGAAGGCAAAGAAGCAAAAAGGAAAGAAGCAAACCAAAAAGAAGTTTATACCCCCTGAGTATTTAGCTTGTTTCCAAATCCGGGTTTACGCTGGCGATTTATAAAGATTGGCAGACAAAACCTGCAAAGCATATTTCTTGGTGCAGCTCTTGAACAAGAGCACAATGAAACATCATACAACTATACCTTACGATGCTTCTACAAATGTTTTGACTTTGATAAATTGAAAGGTAAGCATACAATATTTGTGGACTAGACTTGAATTATAAACTCCTTTTTACACAGTCTTCAAATGCTACAGAATATACAACAAAAAATGTTCTTACATGGTCTCTATACTGATGGCTATACGTGTAGAATATTATTCTGTAGAAAGGTGCTTCCGTCATTAGCAGAGCATAACGCCTCTCTAGAGCTTAATGATATCACTGCCGAAGAAGTAGAGCAATACTTTCGGCCTTGTTCCATTGATCCTGAGAGGATTGATGTCTTTATCTCGTACCACGGAGGCAATGATATACGCCACCTGCCTTCTTCTGAATATTATAACATGCACAGAATCGTAACTCGGCAGAAATCAGAACAAGGCCTCAAAAAACGATCAGGCCTTTAAACAATAGAGACGAATATACTTTCGCCAAAGACATCATCCATTGAACAATACGCGTCATACATCGCTTATATGTTTGAGCATATGGACGCATTATTTGGCTTTTACAATTTTGAAACTGCAAAGATAAAATGGCCGAACTATCTTGGATCTCAAAAGATTATTTAAGAGAGTGTGAATATTTTATTAAACGGTGGAAAAAAATATAACAACACTCAAGTTTCAACTAAACATTTCAACTCTTTTTTTTTTTCATTTTCTGTAATGCCTATTTGAATAAGTATGATTCTCATTGTTATACTTTTATATTACACTTCGAGCCCGTTGATCTTTTTTTTCTTTACTTTCGTAGTTTCCTCAATTAGTTAAAACCACATATGTCTTATAGCAAACGATAGAGAACCACTAATTTATTTTTTAGCTGAAACTTTAAATAACTTGGAACAATAGTGAAACTATGATTCATAAAAATCGTCATTAACTTTGGGCCATTTTACAGCCTTGTCTGGGATTGTGTAGCATTGCTTCAGAAAATATTTGTCTTCAATTGTGGACTGAGAACCAAATTCCGAGCTGTCTTTCACTAATATATTCTTCAACATGTCTGCTTCCTTTACGACCGTGTTCTATAAAAGTTATGATTAGTGAATGAATTGATAATTAAATAAAGTTAAACATGCCTTATAGGAGAACAGTTGCTCTAAACTGTTGTTAGAGAACCCTTTGGCTCTTTGACCATTGTACGGGTATTTAAGTGTTCGCCCAAATTGTGAGGGGATATAACAGCCTGGTGCTGCGAGCCTTACCTCAGAGAACACCGCTTTTAAGCCTAAGAGAGTTTCATTTTAATTATATATTTATTGATCGCTCAGAACTAAATACATTACCACAGATCTGTGCAACAATGACCTTCTTTTTTTTTTTTGCTTCTTCAAAGTCGAAATTACATTCTTCAACCAATTTGTTCAAAATTGCTTATCCTTCATTCAAGACTTTAGCGCCGTCTCTTTTAATCAAGCTTGGCTCGTTCCCATTCTTCTTGAACTCTATGTTAGAAATATCGTACATTTTCTTATTGAATTCAAGGCACAAGTGGAGTGTTGTATTCAGCTTTAGTGTTATTGAAAAAAGGCTATTAAGTCGATGACTTGCGAATTAGATTCTTTATTAAGAAGAGCTGAATATTATTAATTTAAGTTTGAGTGAGAGTTTACTTGGGTAGAGAATCTATCACTGCTATTTATATTATTGTCATCACTGACATTATTTATGCTTATATTATTACTGTTATACCAGTAGCTACTATAGTTGCTATTATAAGTTATTCTTATCAGATACGATAGAGGAATGTAAAGTAGAATGCATGCTCTACTGTAAGATTATACTCGAGTTATTATAATGATTATCTCATCAAACACGTCATGTATTACAGTGTCAATGCTCCTGTATACTTCTACCAGAATATCGTTGGGATTAGGTACCACCAACTGAGCTACTTCAAATTGGCTTTTATGACCTTCTGTAGCTTCACTGTTTATATTTAATAATTCCATGTACTTTTTATCTTGCAAATCAACAATTGAGTTCAAACTAAGCCTAAAAAATATGTTAATAGGCATTGTCATGTCTTCGGTATCTGATATTTATTATAACATACTTTGCGTAGTATTTTTCTATACTATTTACATCTTTGAAATTTTTGCCGCAACACTCAAGACCAAACTTTGGTACCAAGTACATTAAAGATTTACTGTGACCAAAAGCTGTAACTGAATCGCTTTCGTCTACTTTTCTCTAGTTATATAAATATAGAACAATTATGTGAAATTATATTACGTAGAAACTGCTTTCCTCACTGCTTCTACTTTGACTTCTGATTCTAAAAATGCGTCAATTTTATGCAACGAATATAATAACTAATTACAGTTCAAGTAATTACCTTCTCTGCTCTTTCTTTTCTTTCTAGCTCGTCTAATGACCTCTACATGGCTTTCCGCTTGGAAAACAACAATTTCATTGGCAGCATTTTCTATAGCATCAACTACGCGATGGTCAGACATCGTGAAAGAATAAAGTTACAAAAATTTAGACTATGCCAACGAACTTGACATAGAAGTAATTTATTTTAGTCAGTTCTCCATGTCTTTATTTTTTTCAAAACGGGGGATTTTAACACATTCTTTTGTTTGCTTTGTCAGTACATTTCAGCCCAATGTAGTAGCAATTACTAGACAAGGTCTGAGCTATTGCATTGTTAAGATTGTGTGAATAGGAGCATATGGACGGATAAGCAATTACTAGACAAGGTCTTGAACCCCGTCTATACCGAAAATGCAATTTTATGTGACTAAACGCGTTTCTTTACGTATGCTTGCAAAGGTGAACGTTTAGTCTTGCTTGACTCTGTATAGGAACACCACTAACTACGCATATTCTTTCTCTTATAGATTCCTTCTAAGGCTATCCAACTTGTCGTATTTGAAGAAGGTTGATACATAAAATATCAGTATAAAATGTTACCTACTATAATAAAATAAATAACATCCTGGTAATCTTAAAATACATGAATAATAAAATAAAATAAAAAATCTATTGTTTGGTATTATTTATGAATTGTGACACAATAACCTTAACAAAAGGAACATGATTAGTTAACTTCTATAGAAGTGTTGTGTGAAGTCATCCCGCTAGAAAATTTAAATTGCTTGAATGTATTGATTCCCATCGTGGGCCTTTCTCATTCCCACCATAGTTGATCGTCTTCTCAGATCAACTATAGATCATTGGCTTGATAAGCTGTTACCTTACTTACATTACACAAAAACTCAATCATCCTGGAGAAGTGAATCGAGCACGTTATCAACCAGACCAACCTAATATTATTGTAACCAAACAAAGAGATGGCGATATATTGATTTACGATCGTAAGAAAAGTGATCCATTGTTAACATTAAAGGGACATACAATGGAAGGGTGGTAAGGGGTTGGAATAAAATGAGAGAGAAACTATGGTCTTGCCTGGAATCATATTTAAGTGCTGGATTTGATCATTAGTTGAATGGCAATGGAAAATTTGATTGGGTTAAAAAACAATTGATTGGCCGACAAAAAGTTTGAACGCGCTAAGAAACTCTTGATTGGTCAAATAAAAAGCTTGATTTCTATTTTAGAAAATCTTGATTTTCAAACGCAAATCACTGTATTAGTAATTCTCCCTTTTGACTGAGTAGTAATGAAAAAGACTTTTTTTTTATTTTTTCATGAAAACAGCAGTTGTATATACACAAATTAAAAATAATAATAACAATGAATTCTTTTTTCTTTGCTTTTTTTTTTCTTTTAAAATGTAAATGAGTTGCACAGTGCCAGTAATATAATAATAATAAGAAAAAAAATAAAATGTATATATAATGTGTGAGATTGTGTGTGTGAATGTAGTAGTAGTTGTATATATGTGTGCGTATGGTGTATAAATGTTTATAGGTCTGCTAATAAAGCAGCGCCCATTTCTCTAAAGTTAAAGTTGACATCTGAGTTATCCTTTGGTTTGATAAACAAAGGATTCTTTGAGAACGAAAGACGAATACCACTCTTGACTGAATTTGAAAGCATGTAGCCTTGAAGTTTTGTCATTGCTTGCGTGGCATACAACACATCTTCAAATTCAACAAAACACATTGGCCCTTGTTGTGGAGACTTTATGCGGAAGCACATGCGCTTATATCCTTCACATTTTGAAAAGAGGGAACGCAGTTCTTCTTGGTTTGTACTGAGAGGCAAATTGCCTACATAAAGCGTATTACAGGGAGGGTTCTGATCCATGGTGGCTGTGCTCAGACGAGATAGAGAGGTAGTTGTTGTAGGTTGAAACGAATTTTTGCGGTTCATAATGGAAGCATAGTCATCGCCGAGTAACTTGTTATCTATTGTAGCCGAGTCAAAGTTTGACATGGGTAGTGATTTTGACAAGTAATGGAAGGGATCAGAGTCAGGGTCCATAAAAGTTGATTTAGAAAATAGATGAAATGGCTGTTGTTGTTGTTGTTGCTGCTGTTGATGATGATGAGGATGAGGATGGTATGGTTGGATGTTACCGGTAGGAATCTGTTGACTTCTAGCATCAAAAGACTGAGAACGAGCATCGTTGAATATATCGGATCCTCTAAAAAATGGATCATGAATAGGCGATAATAAGTCACTTGGAATAGGTGAGAATGGTTCATAATTGTTATTGATTCCGGTCAATTTATGACTCTTTTGGCTTAAATTGCGAGTGAGAATGGTCATGGGCGAAGTGGCAGAGGTAGTGGTCGTAGTAGTGGTGGTGGCGGTAGTGGTGGTATTGTTGATGGTTGTATTACTGCTACCGGGTAAAGTAGCGGAAGAGTTTGTACCTTTTTTAATATGTAAATTCTTTTTGGCCATCTCAGCTTTTAAAACTGAGCTCTTCTCCACATCGACCTTTCTGCCATTCAATATATCAACAGCTTCCATCGCCTCTGAGCGAGTGGTAAATCGAGCAAATCCAATCTAATAAAAATGAATTAGATGAATTCAATGTGTGTGTGTGGTTATTGTAAATTACCATTTGCTTCTTATTATTCTCGTTGGATTCTTCATCCTGTTTGCAGTGCCATTTCAATGAAGCGCCTTCAAAGCCTTTGGAGAATAAAAACATGTTTTGAAACTCTCTTTCTTGCATATCGTCAGGGAAACCAACGACAAAGATAGTTGTTACGTCTTCTGGCACCGGGGAAGCAACAGAAAATGGAGAATGGGTTGAAGAGAGGGTAGGTGAAGAAGGATCCATGCCTTCTTCTTTTAATACATCTTGGTTGTAAATTGCCATGCAAGAACAGGAAAGAAGAGCGAAAAAAAAAGAAAAAAGAGAGGAAAAAAAAAAAAAAAAAGAAAGAAAAGGAAAAAGAGAAAATTAGCGGGGGATAATTTTTTGAAAAGGCGGTTCTTTTTTTTTTAATCGTTTCAATTCGTCCACTGAAGATAACACAGCTTGTCTTTTTTTTCTCACTACTCTTTTCTTTACTTTGCATTTTTCGAGATTCTTATGATTAAAATAAAAGGAATATTCAAGTTGTAAAAAAAGGAGAAGAAATTAAGCTATCCTTTCTTTTATTTATTTGTTACATTTTGAGGTTTTGTTACCAAAGTAATGTATTGTACAACCCATCCGAGAGATTCCGGTCCTACCTAGTCTTTTTCAACTTGTGCCTGCATGCATCATTGTACTCTCCCTCTCTCTGATGTATTTTTTACAACAAATAAAAAAAAAGGTAAAAAATGAGGGGATGGTATTACCATAAAAAGGAAACGTTTCTCTTTTTTTTTCTCTCATTATAATTTGCTGCCCCGGTAGCATTCATGATTGTATAGCAGTAGATGTGTATAATCAGATGCATCGTCACAACTAAAATCTAGTGAAAAAAGATGCCTTGAAAATTTAAGCTTTTCCCCCAGGGTGTGTTTCAATCGAAATAGTTTCCTTTTTTAGGCACATCATGGGCAACAGTGTATAGTGTTTCCAAAAAGTAATGTCACAGGCACAGAAACTTTATTTAAAAACAAACAAAAAAAGAGTATTTACAATATTTCATCCTCCAAATAACCAACTGTATCAAGCAGAACTTTGCTTCAATTGATATAGAGTTGATATGGTGCGTGAACTTAGTATTACTCAGCGATGAACCTCACACAAGGTCGACAGAATATCTATAGAAGAATAATCTAATGGTATGCGTTGGCGTAAAGTGAACCGCGGTAGAACCAAAGGCTTGATATGGCGAGAAAATCACAGGTTCGTGTGTCAATCACCAGTTTATTCTCATCAGGAATGAAGAGCAAACAGATCGTGAGATACTCATATAAGCCCAGAATGTTTTAGGAACGGGGGAGCCGCTAAAATTATGTTCATGATGGATCATCGAGGAAAGTAACATGACAATATATGAGTCAATGGTATTAACTAAAATGCTGTTCTGACTTTGCACGAGTATTGCAGTTGAAAGATTCCAACCAATCTTGGTAAAGAAGGGTTACTCTGAATACCGAGTGTTCAAGAGAACTCTGTGAACTTTCCTATTTTATTTGGAAAAAAACAAAAAAAAAAGATTATATCCACTTACCTTTTGGTTTTGATCATTTCATCACCTAGCTTAATCGCTAGCTATAGTTTTGTAGAGGGTTCAGGTAAAGAAGAGCTCTTTTACAGAAAACAAAAAGGATAAGACATAGTAGTCACTCCAAAGAGATGAACAGCAACTGAGTGGTTCCAAGGCGTGTTATGCATAACACAGCGCCAGTAATATTTCTATCAACGAGTATTTGGCTGCTGAATGATACCATGGCTAAAAAGAGCTAACCAGATATCGTCAATTTACAAGCAACGGCACTGATGAAGATCTAGAAGAACTGAGGCACGTTTACATATCAGACAATGAGTTTTCCAGAGAAGTTGTTGAAAACAGTGAGGGCTAAAATCAGGAAACCATAATCATTGTCGCCGTATTAGCAAATCGTAGACGTCCATCGGTCAAGCTTGGCTAGAATAGTGTTTGTCAGCCGCCTGTGCATCGTTCACTGATAAAACATAGTCTGAATAATCAAGTATTCTGCGCACCTTTCGTGATAGGCTGAATAAACTATCGATAGTCAAAGAGTACAAGGTATATGCTGCATACGATATCAGCTGACTGGACCTTGCGCGAAATATCTTTTTGCTGATGCTATCTTTATCAAAGCTATCTGTGCACTTGCTACAAGAAGGGAAAGCAGAATCTAGGGTTGAGGTACGTTTCTTGATTCACTGTCGCCCCTGTCCACATGGATCATATTTTCCATGACAGCTTTATTTCACGGATGCTTCTTCAAAATAGGATGAAAAGTATCGAAAATGATGGAAAGCGAGAAGAAGAAGAAAAAAAAAGAGCTTAAAGCTATAAAAAGGGGAACAAGCAAAGCGGACAATAATGGAAACTAGAAAATCCTGTATGAAATAAGGGCAAAAAAAAGGTAAAAGGCGCAAAACGGACAAGGTTGAAAGGATCAACCTTAAAGGTGTTTATTCTGCCCTATGGCGTTCTTTACCAGCAATGCCTACTCTTTCTTGCTTCTTTGAAACTGTTTTGCCAATACCCTTATGCTTATGAGGGTCCTAATAAAATAGATAATAAGCAACATAAATTACTACCAAAATCAATTCTCTTACCTTTCTACTCATAATTTCCTTGTTTCTAACTCCTTTGCCGCCTTCCCAGAATGCGCCTTTGTGCGTTGCCTTTTCAAATTCATGACCACAGTTACACGGTTTACCATTAACAATAACTTGCTCTCTTGAACACAATCCACAGACATGTCTCTTGGCCAGTTCATAAGGATGATCTTCATTTGTATCATGACAGACATCACAAGGGTATAATTTATGACAGCATGGGAAACGGAACCATCGTTTAGATTTACGGTAATGTGAGCATGTGCCTTGATCGGGTAAAGGCTCGCCAATGGTCAATGCATCCTGCTTCTTCTTCTTCTTTTTTAATTTCAATACTTGTGACTCATCTGCCTGTAATCGTTCTCCTCCTTCTGATCCCAACTTTACAAATTTATATTCTCCTAATCCAAACGTCATCTTGCTGTGGCACGAGAAGCATCCTACTGTGTGTGGCGTGTCATGGGGCGAAAGTCGAATAGGAGATGCCATATCTGTCATACAGTGACTGCAAGTACCAATATAGGAAGAGGGCAATACGTCGTATGCTGAGCATCCAGCCAACTGTAGCAAGCCTAGTGATTTCATGCCTTGGTGAATAAGCTCAGAGTAGAACTTGATGCCCATGATTGAGTTACAGGTGGGACATGAAATCCAACGCTCTGTTTTTATTTTACCACTGCTGTTTCCTTCTTCGTCCTGATCTGGTTTAATGTTTTCGACTGCTGTTGTATCCTTACAGCGCGCGCATTTGACAACTAAATGAAGCACATTACATCGAAACAGTGATACGTTATCAAGTACTGGATCTATTAATCGAATCTCTGTTCCTCTTTTCACTTTTGGTGGTTGAGCTAATCCAGTCAACGCATCCTTTTTGGTCTCGTCTTCTGAACCACTTATCTCTTCCTCCTCATTTTCTTCACTTTCATCTGTCGTACTATCATTGCCATCATCGGCTTCGTCCTCTTCATCTACAACAAAAGCTGGGTCATTTACGATAACGACCCTGCTTTGTTTCTGATCTTCTTCATCAAACAATGATGTCTTTTTCTTCTTTTGCACCTGTGGAACAAAAACTGGCGCAGAAGCAGAAAGCATTGATTTTTTCTGCTCTTGTGTCGGAGGCTTGTGTTGCATCTTTTGAGCATCTGCCATTTGAGCAGCCTCTTGTTCTTCCCTCGTCTGAGTTCGTTGTTCTCCAGAGATCAACTGTTCTAGATAACGGTTCAACCAATTAAGGTTTTCAAATAAACTGTCTCTACTTTGAACAACATGCATGTTGAAGCCTCCTTCGATCCAGCTATTAAAAATAAGGTCAGTTTGTATTACATCTTATCTTTCTTTATTACCTTTTTCGAGTAGCATCCAGGTTCCTATTTTCTACCTCAATTGAACAAGGCTGAAGTGGGTAAAGCCTTGGTATATGATATTTGATATACAGTTGAGTCCCACCCAAATGCTGTTCATGTGAAAATTCTGGATCATTGATGTTCAATGTTAAATGGATCACAGTATTACTCTTTGTGGATCTGATCAAGATCATATCAATGAAAGGGCTCTTTTCCACTATTAAATGTATAACTTACTTGAAGCTATCAGCAAATCTTGTTCGAAGTTGTTGGATCTCCCTTTTACGTCTTTCATCCGCAGCAGCCTTTTCTTTTGGTGCGTATATATCTTCTTCTGTATGAGCAACTTCAGAATGACTTGATGCCGCAGCACTGGTTGTATTTGACTTGCTGACAGATACTTGTTTAGGTGGCGAATAGGATCTAGGATTCGATGAAGCTGATTGGTGAATAATAGGCTTTGTTGTATCTAGATGGTGTCGCCGTTGATCCTGCTGCGGTTCGGTTGTCGCTGGTGCTGCGGTAGGTTTTGGTGAATGCGATACAAAACGAACAGTAGGGGCAGGCGCCTGCTGCAATAATGTTTCCATATTTCTATCAAGCCAGTTCATCTGTCGAACCAATGTTTGATGTGTGTTCATATTGTCTACGTGAGCAGCGTATCCCTTTTCGAGATTGCTGCAAATAAAAGGCATGATTAACACCAACTGATAAACACAATTCATCCACTCACTTACAATGCAAAGCCTCTTGGAATATCATTATTGAGTACCTGAATTTTGCATGGAGCTTCAGGGTAAGTATTGGGTATATGAAGTTGTACTTGAAGTGCATCAAGTTCATATGGGAAATCAGGATCGGTGGGTTTAATCGCTATTCTGACTACTGTTTCCTGTTCATTATCTCTACAAGATGAATAGCAAATGTTAGATCAATCACTTGATTATATATACTTTGTATTTACTTGACAAGCTGATACGTGGATCTATATCGAGTTTCCAACTGAATAAGCTCGAGCTTTCTTTTATTGTCAGTAGACTATTATTGTTAATTATTAATATTTCTCGAGTTTATGTCTCAAGGATAATCCTTACCACAGAAGACTTGTTGTTGTTGTTAATAGCTTTATTAGGCTTGTCTGTCATGTTTTTTATTTATTTATAAAAAGAAAAGAAAAAGTAAAGAGAAACAAGTCAGTCTTTAAAAATCCAGTTCCAGTAGAGTGACTGTTGTGCTCTGAGGCATAAATGCTGTTTTTGAAAAATAAGGCATCATTTCAACCAACGTTTTTATTTTTTCTTTATAATGAACACCATTAAAGCAGACCAAATTATTGAACTTGAGCCTTCATTTATAAAAGTAACTTTATAAACTAAAGAGGAAGAAAAAAAAGATATTCAAATATTTTATTATAGGTGCCTTATGAACAACTACGCAAGTCGTTTCGCTATGAGTATAAATATATTGAAAAGGAGCTCATTACCCTCCAAGACAAAATCGAACGCTGTATAAAAGACAACACATTATCTGCCAAAAAGGCTACAGAGACAATAAATGAACTAATGAAGCAAGTGGATAAACTGAAACGGAAAGTAAGATATTATGGATGGTATGGTATGATAACTAACGATATACTTAGCTAGAGAAATACAAAGAGGATGGGGAAGCTTATAGCAGAAGAATCGAAAAGAGAGCAGCCAACCTACTTGAAATCGAAAATGTTACTTCTCCAAAAGCACCGGAATTTGTATCTTGGACGAAAACAAGACTGGATAGAGTTGTTGTTGATTATTTACTTAGAGAAGGAATGACAGAAACTGCAAAGAAAGTGGCAAACCATGGAGGCATTGAGGTATAAAATGATATATAATATCTCTTTATTTATTCTCAATATGTATATATGTAGGATCTGGTGGACGTTGACTTGTTTTTGCAAGCTGAAAAAATTGAACAGGCTTTGAGAAACCACAGCTGTAAAGAATGCTTGCAGTGGTGTTCTGAGAATAGATCAAGTTTAAAGAAAATGAAGGTAAATATTTTTATCTTTCCAATGACGTGTACTGATAGAAACAATAGAGTACATTGGAATTTAACCTAAGGTTACAAGAGCATATTGAACTCGCTAGAGCCAATAGAGGATTAGAGGCTATTTCCTATGCACAAAAATACCTCACGCCGTGGAAAGCAACCGAGTATAAACGAATTGGACAAGCTATGGGGCTGCTAGCCTACAAAAGTGATACCCAATGCCAACCTTACAAAGTAAACATACCAGCGAAAAAAAAGATAAAAAAAAAAGTACATTAACAGTTGCTTTTGATAGGATCTTTATGATGAAAAGCGCTGGCAAGAGTTAATTCATCAATTCAGGAGTGATAACTACGCTCTTTGTTCGCTTACTTCTCATCCACTGATGTCCATCACACTTCAGGCTGGTCTTTCGGCTCTAAAGACACAACAATGCTATGAACATGAAAATCAAAATGTAAATTGTCCAATTTGCGACAACAGTACGTTAGGAAAACTAGCAGAAAAGTTACCACTGAGTCATCATGTAAACTCGACTATAGTCTGTCGTATCAGTGGCAAAATTATGAATGAAGATAATCCACCAATGTTATTACCTAATGGAAGAGTGTATAGCTTCAATGTAAGTGATGTCATCCATGAGAAAATAAGCATCTGACCTTTTCTTTTACATATGTTGTAGGCATTAAAGGAAATGGCAGATAAAAATGACAATAAAGTCATTTGTCCAAGAACGGGAGATGTATTCAAGTTTAAAGAGCTGAAAAAGGTGTTTATCTCATAATTTATGCCGCTTGTCTCATTTGCTGGTTTTCAAATACTATTGGGTTTGTGTCTCGATCGTTCTGTATTTTTAAATATATAAAGCATATTTCTTTTTTCCGTCATTGTATTCCTCTTTTTTTTCCCTTTTTTGCTTTTTAAATACAAATGTCGCCACTTATACTTAAGCTCCAACAAGGCAACGACGAAAGCTCATTGAATTTTTCCGGCTTGGATCAAGACGAACTATCAAAAACTTGGAGAGTGTGTACAAAAGTGAAAGATTCACTTGAAAATGGATCAAGATTAGAGAATCTTTCTTGGCGGCTCTGGTTTATCCAGAACGTAGAAGTGACGAATGATGTGAAAAAAAACACGAAAAAATCCAAATGTCAACAAGAGAATACCAATGATACCATAAACATAATACAAGAACGGCAGCAACACGGAATACAATCACAAACCAATTTGGATTATGACAATAACAACAACAAGACCGGAACAACCGAGAATTTTGTTCTCAATCAATTTACGTCAGATCAAGCAAACGACCAAATGATTGAGCTGACAGACATATTTGGTCCATTAGACGAAATGATGTTTGCTAATCATGAGCATATCCCATTAAATGATGTACAGATGTCATATCAGTTAGATAGTCGAGCATCGCATGAGATTCTGGCAGCAACTCAGATGCCATACTCTAATACTACCAATACAACAACGACTTATTCATCCTTCCCAACCAACTACCAACAACAAAACATCATTCCACAGTCACTCGCAGATTTACAGCCAGTGATGCCTTGTCAATCTATTCATGATCTAAACATGACACAAAATTCATCCATTGATAATGCGAATGCATCTTATCTAGCCGTTCTAGCAGCTTCAGCACCAGCAGGACTTGGCAGCCTACCAAACGCCACACTTTATAACAAGATGCTAGCCACTCTACCAAAGGAAACCCTAGCCTCTGCTGAGCGGTTATTATCGCCACGACCCAAATCGCAGCAACCCTCTCAAGGACAGTTTGATTTTGTTCCAGAGAGCAGCAGCAAAAAGACGCAAGCTCATTATTATGGAACATTCAAGGTAGATTCCACACCATCAAGAAAATCATCACCCAAGCCAGGGTCAACGCTGGGTAACAACACGACAAACAACAGCAGCAATACGAGTTACCCTGCAACAGCCGTCTCTGGAGAGAATAATACACCTATATGTAGTAACTGTGGCGCAAGATCAACACCGCTATGGAGACGATCAGTCAACGACGAAATTTTATGTAATGCTTGTGGATTATAGTAAGTTATGCAAATATGCTTATTCTCTTAAACGCAACCATCATTAACACATCGTTTAGTCTGAAATTGCACAATGTACCTCGACCCAAGCATATGAAAACAGCCCATCGCTCTCCTAATGATGATATTTCAAGAGACGACAAGAGCATCGTTTGTTCCAACTGTGGGACAAGCAAGACACCCTTATGGCGCCGAGACTCTGCTGGATCTCCATTATGTAATGCGTGCGGATTATAGTAAGTAGACTAAATGCAAGATGACGAATGAATAAACTCAACTTGATTATTTTCTAGTCTAAAATTACATAATGAAAAGCGACCATTATCTATGAAAACAGATGTGATCAAAAAGCGACAAAGAACAGAAACGTTAATTGCAAATAATAATGAAGAACAGTCAGTGAAACGACCAAGATATTATGACCAACAAACACTAATGCCTACTGGTTACAGTGATACAGCCTTGCCAGGAACCGGTATACTTTTGATGTCTGCTAGTGACCATACGTCAAAACATTAAAACTGTAAATAAAAATAGATAATTTTTTTTTCCTGGTTAATATTATGTACTTGATCAACTTGATGAATTCAATTCGGTTAAATTGTTTTTGCGCTACTAAAACTTATTACATGTGTTGTCGTAATTGAGTCTTTTATTATCAAGTATCCTAGACAGCTGAATAAACAAGCACTGCACATCTTGAATTTGGCCCATTGTCAATTAAGTAGAATCCAAGCAGGTCATTGAAAAATAAATCTTTTAACATTGTTTACTACAAAAGGTATATGATTCAAGATGTACAGAATCACCTTTTTCTTTAAAGCATGTCAATAGTTTGTTGGCCGTGCTTGATACAATTTTTTTTTATTAAACTGATGCGAGTAAGCCGTCGTCAATATAGTCTCGGATTCAAGCAAATCAACTCAATTAGGCCATTCCGTATTTGATAGCAGTATGCTCAAGCCTCTTTACCAAAAACATGGCTCATCCTTGATTAGTTAGAAGGAAGAGGAAAGCACACAAGATCAGTATCTCTTAGTAAATACCACAGCTCTATTTATGGATTTTTTCTATTATTAGTTTCAATAAGGTCCCTTTTAGTTCATATTAAATTATGAAGTAATTCTGATACAATGATCTGCAGCATTCTTTTCTTATTACGCAAATCATTGATGAACCCTACTGCATAATGAATTGATACCTAATGTGTTGTCAAGAAGCGTTAAAACCATAGTTTGTTCTCAAGGTTATATAATTATTTTTAAAATTTGATAGTTTATTCTGGATATCTATTGTGAATGACTTTTTCCCTTTACAACTTCTCTTTATGCCAAGAAATGAATAGTATCAAGCATTTTTTTCTTCAAACATCATGAACAAGGTCAGAATCACGAAGGAATCAGTGGTACCTGGAAACGCCTACCGTATTTGTTCAAACTATACGAAAAATTAGTAAGCAGCCTTGGGAAAAGATAGTAGTCAGCACACAGTTGAAAATGCGGAGTAACATTTATCCATATACAATAAAGAGGAGAAAAAACGCGATTTAAACTTCTCTTCTTTTTTTCAACTTAAAATGACATCCGTATCTACAACCGTGGGATTATCATCAGGATTTGACAAAGCAACTGATACCCGTTTTATCGGACAATGTAACAATGCGTCTATTTATGCCGGTGCGGCAGATTCTGTAAATGATGATAAACAAATTAAGTAATCAATATTATTAACTCTTTGCTTTTTTGTAGACATGGTGTGTTGGTGAAGTTCCTAATGTAATGTGTACAAGATAAATATAATCCTTTGTTTACTGATCATGCATTCTCTTATAGGGTGGTAAGAGTTAGATAATGGCAGAAAGATAGAAAGGGGCCTAAAAAACATGATAGGATATGTTGCATCGATTATTCTTGATAGTGTTTTGAGGTACTTTTCTACAAAATATCAACAAGATCCTATTGCTATGAACTGCTTCTTTCTTAAAAAGACTGACATTGGTCATTTGATTGTTGAAATAACCGAGATCAAGATGAGTTCAAAGGGATACTGTATCGTTGGAGCATCAGTTAAGCAAAGGAAAAACCTAAGCCAGTCTTTGAGTAGCATAGACGATTATGAACCAAGCGAATGGACTGAAAAACTGCATTCAATCGTTACCATGGGGAATATGGATTCAGAAAAAGGTCTTACCATGTTTACAAACAGTCCTCAGCCTCCCTCAACTGAACATCTTGTGCCATTTAAATACAGATGGATGGGTGAACATGTCAATGCAAAATTTGATGTGCGCAACGCATCAAAGGAACACTTTATCGGTAGACCAGAAGTAACTCAACTCATAGGATTTTCAGATGGTAGACCAGTAGATTCTAAGAGCATACCTTACTACTGTGACATGTTTATTACACCTCCTGCCCTGATCAGTGAAGAAGTTCATGGTGGACCTATTTGGTGCCCTACAATGCAAATGGAAGTACAGTTCAAGGCAAAGATTAAAAAGGATACATCACAAATTTTGGCACATTTTCTTGCCCCAAATATCATCAACAATCGATTTGATATTGATGGACAGATCTGGGATGAAGATGGGACACTATTAGCGCTTACTAGACATCAATGTTTAATTGTCTCTTGGAGTCGAAATACAAAGAATGACACCAGTGGCAAACGTATAGATACCACGTCTTCTAAACTTTAAAATTTTAATGAACAAGGTTGTCCTTTTATCAATATATCCACTTTGTTGCATTTTTTTTTTATAATAAAGAGACCTAACAGTTTAATAGTAAAACGGAGTGTTTTGCTTGTTTTAAGTATACTTTTTAGCACCGCTTTTAGACATTTAAGAGCAGCAATCTTGAAGGTGTACTTATTCACTTATTCAAAACTGAGAGTAGATAGTGATTATGTTGACTAGTTGGAACCCAGATGGTCTTTCTCTCTCTTATCTTAATCCATAATAAACCATTATTATATAGAAACTCATTTGCTTTCTATCAAATGTCTGGTAAATCACTAGAGCTCGCTTTTTTTTTGGCTTGTCGTTGAAAGATGCATTTCGAAATGCTGAGCAAGATCAGCTAAGGTGACTCCAGGATAATCGCATACGGAACATTCAAGGGCAAAAGAATACAATGAGATTAGGCTAAGCAAACGGCGTAAATAAGTACAGCCGAAAGAATGTTGACCTCCTTTTCAATAAATTGCTGATTACAATTGTGAATCTATAATTAACATAAGAGTAAGAGAAAGAACTACTTGCTGATTGTCTGCATTTGCTTTTTTCGTGTTTGTTGCTCTGATAAAGTCAGGCTTACCATGTCAATAAAGCATCTTTTAATTTGATGTTAGATGAAAATAAGAAAAAGAATAATTACAATGACGACATTTACATCTAAATAACAGTCATAGAATCTCTGCTCTCCTTCATCTTTTTTCTTTCTACTTTGCTAATTATTGACTTTATTGCCTTTATAAATCATAAAGCTGAACACAGCACTTTTGCCAAGTGGAAAATTTTAACTTACAAAAAAAAGAACGGCCCATCCATAAAAGGAAAGTGTGTTCAGGAACGGAAGAAAACAAGAGTCTATATTTTACATATGAAAACATACTTTTGAAGAGTAAAATATTAAATACAACCTCTAAATAGTGTAAGTTTGTAATTTCATGAAAACAAAGTTATTTTCTATAAAGTTATTCGCATTTTTAATATAAATTCACTTGACTGTTATGATCTCAACATAATATTTCAGTTTATTTTCCTAATTAGGAAATTACACGTGCTTCAGGTTATCGCGGCGCTTTTAAAGTCAATTATGTCGCGTAATCGAAACACTGTTTATGATGATATTAAACAGCAGCCATATTCACAAATATGATGGTAACTGTTATATAAGACTACAACGGTATCTGAGCATAATTTCTATTATTTTTTGCTTATTGTGTAACCCTAAAGTTGTCTGCTGCTTCTTTTTACTGAGGTAAAGGAAGAAAGGAGCGATTTGAAGAATTTGCTAATGTTGGCCTGTAATTACACATGTGGAGATTATTAGAATTGCCTTAGAACACTACGGTAGGTATGAGTGTGTTATTAAAGGCGTTGACTACTCAAATTTGCCATGCTTTTGTGGCTCTAAATAAACAATTGTTACTTATTGTACTTGATTCTGTTGTCGGATTTCTTGATTTCTTTAAATGTCATGCATATAGTCTTTCATTATGTAGAATACAGTTAAGTTATATCAGAGGCATGGTGCAGCTTTAGTTTAACAGTAATTGCTTTTGCTTTTGCCGTAAAAGGGCTGAACTAAGTAAAGGAAAACTACTGTGAATTTTAAAAAGGTGAAATTCTTATCACAAACGCTAATATCCATCATTTATTTGACTGATCACCTCAATTACAATGGGCCGAAAGAAAACGAATGACTTGCTATTCACTATAACCTCTAAAAGCTTGACTATTTGTATATCACAATAAATCTCTTCCCTGAGGAACCATTTTTTGTTCATGGATAGCCTTCTGACTGATTTATCTCTCTTTTTATATTGCTTCTTTCACTAGTACTCTGTCATCTTTAAATTGATCATTTATGTACAATATCTACCAAAAGGACATTAGAAATAGTCATCTTTAATTTATCACTCAAGGCCAATTGCTTAAAGAATAAGCTCACGTTCATATTACCATAACCGGACAAAAAAGATGATGGCCAAAAGAAACTTTGTATTACATTGAGAGACAATATGTAAATCTGTACCTGGAGATAATTATTTCTTTTTCTTTTTCTTCGTTGAAGGTTTAACTTTATCGTAGTCATCGCAATGAACGAGTAAGCCAAGTTTGCACCGAGATTCTTTCTTTGCTAACATTGTTCTTTACGATTAAAGAGATCAGCTCAACCTACATTCAAAAATCTTGCTGGGTTTAGCTGAAGTCTTGGCCGATAGTCGAGCAAAAGCATCTGTTGAAGAAATAGAAAAACTTTTGTCAAAATGTCCTGAAGTGCCCATCAATAAAGGCACAGACATATTCACTCGCGAAAAAGCCCCTGGTTTAGGCTCAATGGTATCAACAGTAAACCTGAAAAAGAGAAAGGCACAAAAGTAACTTTTATATATTAGACTCGTAGACGACAGCAAACTATAGCTGCTTTAGTGAAATATGCAGTGAAAGCAAGTACAGAAAGAAAATTAGAATTGGTACCTCGGTTGTTATCTTATATAAGACACTTACCTGCCTTTGATTGGGAGCCTGTAAACTTGAATGGTAGGTTAAAGATTGAATTCATTGCTGTATTGACAGCAGTTTCTCAATTGATCTTTGTTAGGGCCGCCTCCATCGGATATGATTACCTATTATTTAGTAGCTGGTCTCTTGGAAATAGGTAGCAAATGCCCACAGCTATATGAAGAAGTCACCAGTACTTTGTGGGCTTATGCCGAGTTTATCATTAAACTATTGCCAGAAAATGGTAAAAAGAAAATGTAATTCAATACGTGCAATACTGATTATATCTGTTGATAGTCGAGTTTACTGTCACGTTCATCCTTCCCTCTTTGGCAGGGTTGACAAGAGCATTGCAATTATCACCTTTTCTTTATCGACCTGCACAACTGCTAAATCTGTGTACTAACGTACAATCAATGCTTCAAGACGATGTACTAGATATGATTCGCATATCCATTACCACCTGTCTTAGAAATGCCGATAAAAGTGCTTACAGCCGTCGTGTCTTGGCACAATATATGAATGACGGTGCACCGTTGAGTTCCAATCGTATAGTCCATGACCTTCTCGTCATATTTAGAAATACTCTTGCTCGCATTCTTGCCAATGCAGTACCAGAATCAAGCCGTACAACGCCTATCATACTTACACCCAAACAGTGTTCCAAGCTATACATTACTAAAGATATTGAACGCATATGGACAACACTTATGCAGCATTCATCCAAAAACCATGAAGTGATTGATAAAGGATCCGAAATACATGCTCAATTGAAAAAATGTGTTAAGCATTTATATGTCACGAGCCTTGGATATCATGATGACGCTCGAAAGTTTGCTGAAAAAAGTGATCAAGAAGGAGCAGAATGGGCTCCAGATGCCTACATGCAAGAAATTTTGGGAACAAGCTTGGTAACTCTTGTAAATGATAGTCAATAAGCTCATTATTGATCTTATTTGTTTAGCAAGTTGCTGCGTTATCTTCGGTTTATCTGCACGAAGTAGATGCCTCACTTACGGAACAGATCAGCGAATGCCTGTTTGATACTCTTAAAGTTCCTGATTCTTGGGTCCATATTGCCTCTTTAGATGCTGCTGTATTGCTTGCTATGAAGTAAGTCATATGTAAAACATTGTTTTTGATTTGGTCTAATGAAGAGTAGCTTTATTCATTTGAATGCAACCATGACAGACATGCTTTGTCGATTTCTCGCCACACCCTCATCTGTATTTGATCTTCATGAAGAAAAGTTGAAGGGCTCTACAAGTGTACAGCAACATGCCATCACTCGACTAGCCCAGTGCGTTCAGGTAAAAAAATAAAGTATATTATTACTCTCACTTTTAACTAACAGCTACTCACAGACAAAGTTTGAAACACACGGAACCCAAACAGCTATCTCTACAGTATATGCACTTTTGAACGAAATTACACGATACACTCAAACAAATGGTGAAGCGACTTATAGAGCTAAAGAGAGTATTATCTCGGGCGCACCTGCAGTAGAACAGCTGAATGAGAAACAAAAGCAACAGGTTTGTGCTAATGTATTGTCTGCTATTGTTGGTATTGCTGTTTATATAAAAGATGCTGAGGTACGTGCATCTATTGTGACAAGAACTATTTATCTCACCCTATTTTATAGATAATTTCTCAAGCATTTTCTATGCTTGCTCTTCGTCGCAAGATGTTGTCTCCATACGCCGCTGCCTCTTTAACTATGAAGTTGGTTGATCTTGCGCTCGTCAGTTCTGAAAAAGTATTTGCAGAAATAACCAGCTTGCTTGCAACTATCAATGAGGAAGCAATTTACGCTGAAAACAATCTGTTGCATACATCTGTAAGTTGCCTAAATCAAGGAGAATGGAAACACTCATTTTTTTTTTTTCAGATAATCTCTGCTCAACTTAGTTTATCCGAGCGATTGAAAGAAAGGCCTGAATACTATCAGATATATCTACACAACGTTTTGACCTTGTTTATTGATATTGGCAATTCCATTCAGCGAACCATGCTGAAGAACAAAAAAGACCACGAATATCCCCTGGAATCAAAGCTCGGTTCTCTTTTGCCTGTTATAAGTGTTCTTTTAGAACACACTGACTTTAACCCTCATCTTTCTCCTACTGGCGAGACCGTAGCACTCTTCCGCAATTTTTGGTTCCACTGCATTCTTTTTGGTTTTGTTACTGAATCTATCTGGATTCGTGAATGGCACAATCACATGCTGAAGATTGCTAGAAAGACACCTGTACTTGTACTTGAAAGCAACACCAATTACCTCGAAAGCGATCTGGAACATAACTCTGTCTTACGGAATAGCAGTGCTGCAGAACACGGGTTAGGGCCTCTTCGACAAAAGCTAAACAACTTTTTGCCTTCACTTGCATATGATATCAAAAATTTCTCATTTGCTCAAATTGTCTTTGCTCTCAGTGTATATCATGTTGAAATGATGCGTAGCCGAATGGGCGACTGCTCTCATATTCTTCACTATTTTACAAATGATGGCATAAACACCAGTACACTTGCAAATTCTCTTGAAACAATTGCTGAAAGAGTATCGCAAGCATTTATCAAGGATGCCTCTGGCAAGGCACAGGGACAAAGTCTGGATGACAATTTACGTAGTCAAGTTGCTGCTTTGCTTAAATTATGTTGCCACAAGCGTCAAAAGGTACATGCTATGGCTATCAAGACAGTCGAACGAATCGTACTCTCTTTTACTCAAGTATTTACTGATGGCTACCTCATCCAACTTTTGCTTGAGTTAGTACAACTGACATGGCTAAGCTGTGAAGCTGAGTATCGTGATGAAGTAAGGATACGAGTGAGCTCAGATATATGTAATGCTAACCGGATTTAAAAGTATTCTCCTGTTTTCCACTTTACTTCACATCGCGTGAAAGTTACAATTGAGCTTGGCGACTCTTATGTATATCGTAAGGAGGTTTGTACACGGCTTTATCAAAATGCCCGTAAATGGATTCAACTTGCTCTTGTCCGTGCTCCAAACGAAGTGTCTGCTCATCTTCAAGACTACCTATCGGATTTCAACAAGTATACCACTAGTGATTACAGTGATGTCGTTCATATGGGTAGATCACTAGCTCTGGAACTAGGAAAGACTTCATCCAAGTCTGAATTGGCAGTGGGTAAGATTGTTGAACTGTTTAGGCTTCCTGGTTTTCTAACTATTTGTTTATGATAGACTTTGTACCTAGTGTTCCTTCGGTCATGCCAGACGAATCATCGAACTTCTTGCATGAATTTAGACATAAAAACTTTTATTTGGGTCAGATTAGGGGTATGGAGTACTTGATATCCTTGCGTGAACAAGCAGGTATATATATATATGCATCTATAGGCGTATAGATCATCATAGAGAATTAATAAATTAATAGCACATGCTGAAAACAACCAGGGATTGACCAGTCAAGTCCCATTTATCCTCGAAGAACTCAAAAGTGTACTAAACGACGTTGTCAACAAAAAGAACATCCCAATCGAGCGCCTACATACCATCATGCACCGTTCTGCAGCCTATGCCATTGCTATACCAGAGCTAAATGCAAATATCATCCGCTACCTTGTTCGAATTCCTGTATACATGTTCACTCCTGAATCAATCGAGATCGCTACAAGTACTTGGAGTTGGATGCTTGTGGAGCGGCCTGAGATGGAAAACAAGTTGATGATAGAGGTAGTAAACATGTGGAGTTGGTCTCAATGTTATCGCAAGGGCATGTTTTCGCCATTGCTAAAGTAAGAATCCTGAAAATACTCTTAATTTCTTGCTTAACAAGCTTCTTTTATTAGTGTGAAGCATCCTTTTGCCTCCAAGATGACTTATGCTCCTTCTGACAAAGCCATTCGTGATACAAATCATCGCGTTGCCGCCTTCTTATTCACACCGCATGTAACTTGGATCAAGTTTCTTAGCAACCGCTTCTATGTGTTCAGACACAACAGTAAGCATTTGGTTAGCTTGCTTATTTCTTTACTTCAAAGTTCTTTTGAAAATGCCCATCTCATGTGTACGCACCCGCTTGCCAGATACGCTCGATTTTCACTTCTTCAGCTTGGCCTAAAGGTTTTGCAATCTACTCGACTAGAGGCCTTGGCAGAGTATAAGTTCAGAACTTCTCTATACCATGCTGCTTTTGATTGGTTTCATCAAGCTCCTCAGTAAGAACAGGTTGCATTAGAGATTATCCATAGCTAATGGCTGTTTTTATTACATAGATGGCATTATGGTGCACGAAAGAGTTTAGCCTTGCAGGAATATAGATTGTTAACTGAATTTTACAACACTGCTATGGGAGATACGCCTTCCTTAAGCTTTATGATAACCTGTGCGTCTATCATAGGAGGCAACAATACAAAATTGGCTACCGGTCATCTTACGTTTTTGAAAGGTATAATATCATCTAACAAAGAAACCAGGAGGATCACTAATCATTTTTTATAGATAAATCAAAGGATGAAGTGATCAAACAACACAAAAACATCCACAAGCTCCTTTTATTATTCATTGAAAGCGAATTGACAAAACTATCTGTCTGGTCTAACCCTCTCAATACAGTGGATCCTGGAAATCCAGCAAATTTTGTTGGAAATACAGAAAAATCCATGGTCTCAGACGTAAGGCTCTTTTGAACTTGACCTTTGAATCTTCTAAACGCGTGTTTTTTATTTAGGATGCATGGAAAGAAATAATCCGAGTTGCATGGGGCATTTCGCCCAAGTTAGCCATTCAAATGGATGCACGCTTTGTCCAGCCAGCTGTCCGACGCGAGCTTCATCGCCTAGTTGCCAACAACACGTTAGATGTTGTTGATATACCTGAGGCGCTCATAATCTTGTTGGGTGAAAAACTGTCCTCGAATGCCAAGTTGGATCTGCGGTACCTTCAATACTGGGCACCTGTACCAGCCATCACAGCAGCCAATTACTTTTTACCTGCCTATGGTAATCATCCACTTATTTTGCAGTATGCCATGCGCACACTCGAATATTATCCAGTGGATACAGTGTTCTTTTACGTTCCACAGATTGTTCAAGCATTGCGGTACGATGCATTAGGCTACGTTGAGAAATACATTTTGAAAGCAGGTCAAAGTTCACAATTGTTTGCTCATCAAATCATTTGGAACATGCAAGCGAACTTTTATGTCGATGCTGATAAAGGATGTCAAAAGCCTGATCCTCTCAAGCCAACATTGGAGAGAATCATTGAAAAGCTGGTTGCTTCATTTACAGGTGAAGATAGAGCATTCTATGAACGCGAGTTTAAGTTCTTTGGCGAGGTCACTGCTATTTCTGGCTACCTAAAGGAATACATCAAATATGGTCAAAATGAAAAGAAGCCATTACAAAAGGTAGCTAAATAAGTCATAATGAAAAGATATTCACACTTTGTTTAGAAACGACTTGATGAAGAGCTTGCCAAGATCAAGGTCGACATTGGCGTTTACTTGCCTAGTAATCCAGATGGACATGTACTAGACATCGATCGATCTTCTGGCCGACCTCTCCAGAGTCATGCTAAAGCACCTTTCATGGCTACATTTTTGATTGAAAAGGAACAAGAGGATGCTCATCACTTGGCACTTGTCAAGCATCATCAACAACAGCAAAATGAATTAGAAATTCACAAGCGAACAAAACAGATCTGGCAAGCCGCTATCTTTAAAGTAGGAGATGACTGTCGACAGGACGTCCTTGCACTTCAGTTGATCGCTGTCTTCAAGAACATCTTTACAAGTGTGGGTCTCGATCTCTATGTCTATCCTTACCGTGTTGTAGCTACTGCACCAGGCCGTGGTGTGATCGATGTCATTCCTCGCTCAATCTCTCGTGATCAATTAGGTCGCGAGAAAGTGAACAGTCTCTATGATTACTTTGTTGCGAAGTATGGAGGACCTGATTCAATTGCCTTCCAAAGAGCTCGTCTGAATTTTGTACAAAGCGTAGCTGCCTATTCTGTTATTTCCTACCTGTTACAGTTTAAGGATCGTCATAATGGTAACATCATGTTGGACGATGATGGTCATATTATTCATATTGGTAAGTTACAATACAGAATACAACACATGAATATAACTTAAAGACAATTCATATAGACTTTGGTTTCATCTTTGATATTGCGCCTGGAGGCATTACTTTTGAAAGCTCACCATTCAAGCTAACAGCAGAGATGATTCAAGTCATGGGAGGCGGTTCAGAAGAGCAAGCATTTAGACAATTTTCTGAGCTTGTAATCAAGGCGTACTTGGCCTCGAGACCCTATGCAGAGTTGATTATGCAACTTGTCACACTCATGCTCCAGTCGGGACTCCCTTGCTTTAAAGGAGAGACGATCAAACGTATGCGTACACGATTCCAGACAGATAAGAATGATCGAGCTGCTGCTGATTTCATGCTGATGCGTATTAAGGATTCTTTTGGTAATCAACGTACTGTGCTGTATGACTATTTCCAAAAGCTGACAAACGGTATTCCCTATTAATTACAAATAAAACGAAAAAATATGTTTTAAACAAAAAGGTTTATTATCATCCTTTTGATCAACACATCCAAAAAAGTTTACTTTCTTTGCTTTTGAGCAAGGAAGTCAGAGAATTCTTGGTAAGGGCCTCTTTGGAATTCAGTCTCTTCCCAAAGATCAGGGGTCAAGAAACCGTAGGTGTTACCAATAGCAGCAAAGGTAGCCTTGACAAAGTTACCGAGAGTACGAGTAGAACCACGAGAGGTAGTGTAACAATCGGTAATACCAGCTAATTGAAGGACACGCTTAGCGGTAGGAGAGGCGACAATACCAGTACCTCTGGGGGCAGGGACCAAACGGGCCATGACGGAACCACAGCGACCACTGACCTTGCAAGGGACAGTGTGAGGTTCACCAAGGCTGGAGCCCCAGTAACCACGACGAACAGGGATAATAGCGAGCTTGGCAAGAATGATACCACCACGGATAGCAGTAGCAACTTCCTTGGCACACTTGACACCCAAACCAACATGACCGTTTTCATCACCAATGACAACAAAGGCCTTGAAACGAGTACGTTGACCAGCAGTGGTTTGCTTTTGGACGGGCATGATCTTCATGACTTGATCAGTGAGCTTGGGAAGGAAGTAATCGACAATTTGATATTCCTTGATAGGAAGAGAGAAAAGGTAGATTTCTTCAATAGACTTGATCTTGCCAGCCTTGACAAGACGACCAAGCTTGGTGACAGGAACCCATTCGTTCTTTTCTTCACCACGACGTCCGCGGCCAGCACGACCACCACGTCCACGTCCACGTCCAAAACCACCACGTCCTAATGATTCATTAATCCAAATGTTCCTTCAATGATTTCCAATGACTAATGTGAACATTCAACTTACCACGAGAAGCACCGGCCGTTGCAGTATCAGCCATACTATAATAAATATAATCCATCCATCAGTATATCTTGTTCATCCATTGCTATTATATTCGTATATCCAAAAGTATGGGTTACTCACTTTAATATATTTAATGAAGAAAGAACTCGTCTTGGTTCGCCTGGCCTTTTTCATTTTACCCGTCATCAGGACGAACGCTCGGACAGCCGAAGACGGGGGTCGGAAAGCAAGTATTTCCGAAAAAGGAAATGGCCAATTGTCACTCAGTAAGACGGATCCGTTCATTCATTTTATATGAGCAATTTTATTTGAATAGCAAGCTTTCAAGAGAGAGAGAGAATAGAATCCTATTCAACGAACAATGTTTAATATACCACTATCTACCAACATAGCCGGTTCCTCAAGGCAGTAAGCAAGTTCCTCAGGACAAGATAATTTTCTGTATAAAGATTAATAAATATAAAGAGAAATATAAACAACTTACGCATTAGATAGGATACCATTCTTTTGCTTGATAGAGAACCCAGGACAAATGATGGCAGCTCGAACAAGTTTAGGCAACAATTCCTTCTCAAAGGGATTGAATCCCTTGTTCACATGATGACGTAAGGTATCTATACATTATTAGCCAAAGTAAAATAGTGTACATATATATTACCTGTGCCAAGCTTATAGCATTCATAGATCAGGTCTCTTTGAATTGTTCTTACTGTCCTTGGTTGATTCCAAGGTATATTCATGATGATAGATATCAAGTATTCAAATGGTCTCTCAGCACATTTTCGATTGTAATAAACCTGTTTTCGACATACAAGTTACATTTCTGTATATTTTTTGATATGCTTACCTTGTAATTTCTACAAACATTTAAAAGGCTTTGCAAGCCCCTTTGTCCTATAAAGAATGGTATCGACTGTTGATCGTTGCCATTGGGAGGTAAAATGGCCAAGCCTTGACGGAAAGTACCAGGCCATTCAGAAAAGAGATGGCTCAAGAGCTCATCATAGGAGCTCGGATTAAACCTAATACGACGACCTTGGACTGGCATGGCTTTAGAAAGATCATACAAGACTGACTTTATGTCTCGATCCTTTTCTATCTTGCATTCAATAAAAGCAACACCAAGTGTCTTGCCAGTCTTGACATCCATCATGATCTTTAAAATAATTTAAATACCTTGTTAATATATAAAACTCATTAAGAACCTACGTGAACACACTGAGGCAGCTCAGTCATTGGAGGAATTCGAATGAACTCACTTTGACAAAGAATTCGTTTGATATCAGCAGCAGAAATACTCCAAGGAATCTAAATTTGCAGACGTGAGATGAGAAAAAGAATAAGGTGTACTTACGTTGATTGCTTTGATGACTTGATAACCACGCTTTATCCCTGTTACCTGAGATTCTTCCACAAAGGCGGCTTTTGTTGCCATAAATGACAATGAATCCGAAAGATAGCGAACAGGAGGCTCAGCTGGAGTAGAAGAGTGAGGAAACAGACCAGTACTAGAGGTGGACGTACTACTTATCGATCCCTCAGCCGTAATAGTTTTAAGTATAGGAGTAGACCAAGTTTCTTTCTTTCTCTGATGGCTGTCAGGTGCTACTGCAGGAATATCTTGACTTTTGGTTTGCTGCGGAGTCCTTATCGTGCTCGCAACACACGGACGGTGAGGAAAGTTTGTAAAGAAACTAGACGGGTTTCCAGGGACAGGATCAGGCAGTAAAGGATAACTGCTCGCACTAGACATTTGACGCGCTAAAGATGAAAGAATTAAATAAAAGTTATAGGCATGACGACAAAACAATAAAAATCTTACCAGAGGTGTTGTTGAACGTGTATTGGTCCCATATGGCAAGAAAAGGAGAAGTATAGTTAATAGAAGGTGTACTTGGCGTATGATACCATTGTTGACCGATAGGATCACATAATTTATTCATAGAACCAGCTTCATTAGGTTCGATACCTAAAAGAGAAAGAGAAAAAGATAAGTAAAAGCTACTACATAAAAATAGATAAGTAACCTTCTTCCCAGTCCCCCCTCCTGCTGCCTTGTTGTTTCCAACAAGCATTTTGGTTCCCATGATACCAGCTATTGCTTCTTTCTAAAGATATACTTGGTTAGATGATGTTATAGGTATATTTATACCTACCTCTTCTTGGATGGTTAAAATTGTTCATAGATCGAAAAGAGATAACGGAGGAAGGAAAAGAAGAAGGATAACAGGAAATAAAATAAAGAAAGTAATTTATATGACAACAAGACAAAGTAAGAAATTGAGCACTAATCATTGCTGTCTTTGTGACTTTAATGTATTTAATATCTATGTAACTGTTGTCATGTTTATTTCTTTCTCATTCTAAGTAGTCTTTTATTTACTTTGTACATTCATGCAACTCAGCCAATCACAGTATTCGTATAGTATATTCACCAGTAATGCCATTATACTTCACATTAATAGATCTTTTTGATCCTTATTCTTATACTTTGTTTAAATATTGATTTCTTTGTTACTTACCCCCATCATTCCTTCAATAAGTGTATATTCTTTGTTTTTGACATAGTTTAAACGAATACAGACTCACTTTCATCTAATCAAATGCTATGAAATGAAAGATCCATGCTTTGCTTTGTAATCAAATAAATAATAAAAACAATATCGCTTTTTACAATAATAATAGGTTTTATTATCTCAATCTGGTCCAAGGGAGTGTTCATAGATACCTTTTTTATATAAATGAAGATTATTGTATTTCCAAAACATGCATAACATGCATATAATACAATAAACTCTATTTTATACGTCAACACCAGCAGCTTTTAGCTCTTGGCAGTAGATCCTGTAGCTTGTTTGTTTATGTCATTGTAATCAAAAAGCATACTATCACGTGTAATGGACAAAATGGGATTTCTTGAAAAAAGTGATATATAAAAAAAATAAACCCCGCCATAATTTTACATAAATGTACACACTGGTTTAAACTTTTTTTTTTTTTTTTTTTTCTTTATGGGTTACTGTGCTCATAATAGTAGTGGTAGTAGTAGTAGCAGCAGCAGTAGTTGTAGCAGCAGCACAAGTAGCAGAAGTAGCAACCATGATAACAACAATAATATCCATACCAACAACAATGACAGTACACCACTTCTCTTGAACAAAACTTTTAAAAATTATTCAACAGTAACAGATGATACAAATCATAGGGAAGAACAAGTGAGTTGTATAGAAAAATATATAGACTTATTTTCAACTTCCTTATACTTGGAAAATACATTGGCTGTGGCTAGAGATCATTTAGGTAACTATATAAATTGTTTACAAGACACATCTATAAATATTTAATTGTCCTTTCCTGAAAAAGCAAATGAGAGAACCTTTTTAGCTTGGGTGCGGACCAGTTTATCGACCATTTCAGCAGGAGTTGGTAAATTATATCTAGAACAACCAAAACACATAAACTCACTCCCTACTTTTTTTTGTCAGCCGTGACCCAACTATTTCGTTTAGACAAGGAAAATAACTCTGGCCGATTTTTGGGAATGGCCTTTGTCGTGATTGGAATACTCTATATGATGTTTGCATGCCTAAGATACTTTCATACTCAAACATCCATGACAAAGGGCTACTTTCCTGCTAGTCGAAGCATCATTCTCATAACGAGTACTGTTACCCTATCTGCACTCATTGCTGTATTCTTCATTATTATTTCAAGGTTTTAATATTTATTGATATCATCATTCCTGTGATAAAAGTGGTCTATGCTCATCCTCTGTCTCCTCCTTGACAAATGGCCATCGAAGTACGCCATTAAAGTAGAATGTGCCTGTTACCATCATGACAAAACCAGCCACTTGAATCCATGAAAATCGTTCCCAACCCAAGTAAAGAGATACCATCCAAATAAAAAGTGTTCTATATTTTATGATTTAATTTATCTCTTTTTTTTTTTTCCTTTGTAAGCTTATTTTACCTGCAGGCATCGATCGTGCTTCTTGCAGTAGCAGAGATAGCAGAAGTGATCGAAAGCCCGAACCAGTTAAAGAAGGCAATCGACAAACTGATGGCAATACCCGTCTGCCAAACGGTAGGATGATCAAAGAAATCGTGATAGCCTTGTACAATATCAAATGACGGATATCGCTGACCCAACGTGAAGTGTAACAAGGGCATACTAGCAAGAATCGAAAACATTCCAAAAGTGCCTTCGAGCCCGACAGCCTTGAGAGGAGTGACCTTATAATGCATCATGATCTTTTCTTCAATCACAAATTGAGAAGCCGTAAACAGCTGAGCACCCAGCACGAGACAGACACCAATGAGTGAAGCGAAATCCACTGAGGCGTCTGCTGCATGAGGCGAATTTTGTGGATACAAGACAGATGATAGGCCGACAATGGCTACGCCGAGAACAACCAGCACTAACGAAAACCATTCGTATCCACGAAGTCGACGGTTGAGAAAGAGATAACTAAAGGCACCAGTGAAGATGACGACAGCGCCTCTTAGCATTTGATACACGCTAGCTGAGGTTAAAATAAGTCCTACATTCATCATCGTCGTCGCGGTCAAATCGCAGACCGTGGGGATCCAAAAGAGCAAAGATTTGATGCCTTTGAGCTCAGGTAGGGTGTTCTCTACCTTTTGCACTTCATTATCTACGTCATCTATAAGGGCAGCAGCGTCTAATTGATTAACGGATGAAGGTGGTGCGATCGTCGTTTGATATCTTTTTTCATACAGTTGATATAAATAAACTGTCCAAACAGCAAATTCACCCACAAACATGTTTAGACTATATGTATATTTAACACGAGTTCACTCTTTTTTATATGTGTCGCTTGTTACGTTTGCCAAAGAGGTTGTTCAAAGTAAGTTCTCTTTTTGGGATCAGGGTCATCGCAATGGTCAACACATTGCATATCTTGGTATTTGTTTAATATCGTATTGCACACTCCTGCAAAGAATACATAAATATCGTCACTGACAACGTTGTATATCAATTGTTTACCTGATATGAGCATGCCAGATGCTAGTATTAATGCCGTTGAGGCATGCTTTGAAATTGAAATAGTTGGCATTTTGATAAAAGGAAAAAAAAGGAAAAAAAAAAAAAGATAAAAATGATGCAGCTGTATTTATTGGTGATCGGTCACAAGCTCACGGCTATCTTTTCTCCCCTCCTTTTATCGTCTTTATTTCACTCTCCTTCCCCCTTTATCTTTTTTTACGTTTGTTTATTAGTTGCCATGGCGTCATGATTTTCATACATGTTTTCTCTTTGTCTCTTTTTTTATTTATTATTTAGAGAGCAATATGAATACGTGGAGGGTAATTTTTTCCTTTTATAGAAATTATGTCCATTTGTTTAATCTTGACAGGCGGGCTTTCATTGGCCCAAATCTGTATAACGAAAACACGTCCTTTATAAAAGGAAGAGAGAGAAAAAAGAGAGAGCGTACTCCCAAGCAAATAAAGTCATATTCTTACCACGGACATTTAACACGGCAACAGTGATAGGGCCCATCATACTCGGGTTGGCGCGCCCCCCTGCCAAACAACCAATAATTTTTGGGGAGACTACTGTATTTTTTACGCTCTTTTTTTCCCTCCCTTTTTCTTTTTTCTTTGTTGTTAGAATGAAGGATATTTTGGCAAAACTTGTTGAAGTAATAATAATAATAATAATAATTAGTAGAGCATAAATCACAAGACCATTGGTACTCATCTATTCAATAGAGTCCAGAACTTGCCCAGGCAGCAAGTGACATCGCTACTCATTTGAATACAGTATCCAAGTTGATTAGTGAACATGTCGAAAGACTCGAGCAGGCTGAACAAGCTCAACAAGTCAAGAAGAAGAGAGAAAGAAATCCTGATTTACCAAAGCAGCCTACTTCCAACTACCTCTTCTTTTGCAACGCTATACGTCCTCAGATTGAGAAGGAATTTCCTGAGTTGGTCTTCGCACAAAAGAGCAGAATTTATGGTGAGAGATGGAGAAAGTTGTCTGACGAAGAAAAGAAAGTAAGACCTATCATAAAGAAGAAGAAAAAACAATGCATTATTGACTTTATGATAGCCTTACAATGAGATGGCTCAACAGGACAGAGAAAGATACACAAAGGAAATGGCCGCCTATGAGAAAACGCATGGCGTGGAAAAGAAGCCTAAACTCGAAAAGGTGGACGCTTTGCCTGTAAAAAGAAAGCTTCTGCCTACTGTAAAGCCAAGTGTTGCGGTTAAAAAGAATATCAACAATATCAAGGACAGTAGCAGTAGCAGCAGTAGCAGCAGCAGCAGCAGCAGCAGTAGCGATGATAGTGAAAGCGACAGTAGCAGCGATGACAGTAATAGTAGTGATAGTAGTGATGATGAAGAAGAAGATCAACTTCGTTCATCTGATCATGAAGACGACACTAGTAGCTCGTCTTCTAGTGAAGACAGCAGCGACACAAGTGACAGCAGTTCTGATAGCGAATAAAAATTGAATTATGGCTGCTCCTTTACGCGTTTATTATTATTGCTATTATTATCAGTTGTGTCCTTTTCTTCCTCCAAGACAGACACAGGTCGTTTTTTACCCGTTTCTGTTGTTTGAGCATCATCATCTGGAATTTCTGGCATTAAGAGTGAACCATCTCCAGGATATTTATAAACAGAGGGACCTGTTTGCTCCTGTGTTTCTGTAGCTTCATTTGAATCATTCTAGGAAAAAATGTCGGTGACATTTTTTATATTGAATATATATGTATACTTACATTATCTAATGTTGGTATATCCATCGTATCTAGGATCATTTGAATAAAGTCACCCATATTTCTTTCAAAATGCTCAAGAGGAAAACGTTGTGCTAGCTTCTCAAAGTGTGCTTGAAAGCTTCCTTCGGTAATATTCAAAAACTAGCAAAAAAAAAAAAGAAAGAAATGGAGGTAAGCTCAAGTTTTCACTCCTGTCAGATGACTTACATCTTTTTCCCTTTCTCTTACTTGAGTCTTGAACAGGTACATGGTACGTGTTTTTGGAAACAGCAAATGATGATCTGCTGCTCTGATCCCCCATTCGTCCACGTCTTGCTCATGCTCTTCTTCTTCATATTCTTCCTCATCCTCTTCCTCCTCAACATCTCCATAAGAGAATATCTCAAATATAGGCTCTAGGCCAACCTGAGCATCACACAGGTAACTCTCGATCGCAGCCTGCGTGAGGAGTTCCAGGAAGAGGTCATACCACTTGGGTGGCATACCTCCACCCATTACCTTTTGACCAGCAAACATCATGGGCTTGACCTCGTTATCTGATTCAAGTATACGTCGAAGCATATCTGCGCTTGTTCTCAAAAAGGTTGGAATGGCTTCGATCAGTCCTGCGGGCGGGGCCGGCGACGTGGGATGATTGGGTAAGACACATCCATAACAGTCTTGTACGCGGTGTCGTCGGCAAAAGGGAGGTACGATAGGCTGCGAGAAACGTTTTTCGCGTTTCTTGATATCGCAAAGAATGTCGTCCTCGTCCGGATTGTCAACTACGACCGATTGGTGTCGTCGTCTACGCGCGGTTGCTTTATGAGCAATCACATGCTGTCCGGTCCACAGAGCGTCGAATCGGCCAAAGACAAGGTTCGTCAGTTGGCACAAGTGAAGGCGCTGTTCAAAATGGTGGTTGTGTTTAAAAGAGAGTGTCTTGTTGCAGTGACTGGAAAGTATGCCTAATAGATGGGTTTTAGATTGTTTAACACAACTTTATCATATTTTTTTTTTTTTTTTGCTGTTACCTGCCACTATTGATTCAACTGCGCGTTTATCTTGTTCTGCCTTTGTGGCTGACTCTACCCATCTCTTCTTGCGTACTTCAAGTCTTTCTTTTTCTTTTGGCAATGGATCGGATAACTCAAGCAATTCGATACTGGCTTGGTTTAATCTGGATTGAATAGAAAGATAAAGCAAGTAATCCAAAATGATCTTGTTGGTTGATGGTGTCACATTCGACTTGTTTGACTGGTTTTCTTTTACATTTTCTGGTGAGAATATGAGTTTATTCATTGATAACAGAGCGTTACAAACAGAAAAGAAAAGGGAAGGGGGTTGAAAGGGAGAAAGCTTTTTCCATAAGTCACACAAAATAACCCTAATCTGAGTGATCAGAGTTTCTTTTTTTGGTACCTCCACGACGCTTTGAATCAAGTTTATCTCCATTCTTGTAGCTTATAATGCTTGTAGATAACATGAGTAATGATGAGAAAGCTCTCTCTCTCTCTCTCTCTGCTATTTATGAATGATGTATATATGTATCAGATGTGCGTGTATGCTAGAATGGGCTATTCCCATTGTTTGATTGGCTAAAAAAGGTTTTTTTTCTTTCTATATTTTATTTTATATTCTACAGCTATGCCTGCTGATACACAGAAACAACCAGCTCAACCTCGCGATGCAAGATTGATTTCACTCATCTTACAGTCATTAGGCGTTGAAGACTATGATCCTAAAGTAGTTCACCAATTACTTGAATTTGCACATCGTAACCTTGTTTATTACTATTTTCATTCTCTTGTGTGTTAATTACTTTTTTTTTTTCTTAAAGGATATACAACAGACGTATTACAGGATGCTCTAGTATATGCAGAGCATGCTAATAAAATGGATATTGAACTGGAAGATATTCAACTTGCTATACAAGGACGAGTCAACCACTCGTTTACGACACCACCACCCAAAGAGTTCTTGCTCGAACTTGCACAAGAAAAGAACAAAGCGCCTCTACCGCTTATTCCCGAGAAATATGGTATTCGATTACCAGCAGAGAAACATTGTCTAACTGGCATCAATTTCTCAATTGTGCCTGATGTAAGTTTAACTGTTGATAGAAATGGTTAAGTGTCAATAACATGTTTAAAAAGGCACCAAAGCAACAACAGTCAAATGTTACACTCGACTCACAGATGGATGCAGATAGTCAAATCATGAGTGTAGAAAAATCCACGCCAGAGCCACCGGTTAAGCGTACAAGGGATGAAGACGATGATTATGACTTTTAAATAAACATACGTTTTATTAGTATTTCTTTGGAAAGCGAACATTTCCAGAACATGATCCCCTTGAAGTACTGTTTGTAAGTACATAGTTATCACGGCCACGGACATTAAAAAAGAGAGAAACATTAGTCAATGTGCCTGATCGACTACAGTTCAACATAGGTTGTACACCAAGACGGGATTGAATGGCATCAACAAAGGCGTTTGCACTGTGATTAGTGCCTGGGATGATACCTTTTGAACTATATAATGTGTAAATATATATATGTGAATACCATTGATAATGATAACCATTTTCATTACCTGAGAGCATCATAGACGTCATATTCATCACGGAGATCAAGTGCTTTCTATAAATAAAAGCTGAATAAACAAATACATGTGTTCATATAAACATACCTTGAAATACTCTAGAACTTCTTGATATTTAACATACTTATCACCATAGCAAATGGGACGAAGGGTGCTTACACAAGTGCCATGAGTATTCCATTCATGAGACCAAAAGCTAGACAAAATGATTTTCTTAGTTATCTTTTGCATTTGATATTATCGTAATATTACTCATTGTTACTTAGAATGTAGCTAGGCCAAAAAGTATTCGTACGGTTATATAGCGTACCATTCGCTAATTCAATAATGGAAGAAATATTGTTCAAGTTCCTGCTTGAATCACAGCCATTGGAAGGAGCATATGTACCATCACATTTATCGGGCCAGAGACCTAATAACTTCAATAAGAACAAGAATCTATATTAATTAAAGACAACTCAAGTTTTACCGTGGAGAGTGAATTCATCATTAGGGCCATACCCAGGTACCCATTGAAGATTAAGGACGACAAGACCATACTTGGGAGAACAACAAGAATCTACAGTTCCAGACCAATGACAAGATACAGTATCGGCTAAGTCATATTAGATTGATGACGATTATACTTTTTTCTGTTGCACTTACGGCTACAAGAGGATTGAGCAACGACTAAGCCAAGTAAACTTTCCAGAGCAAGAGCAAGAGCAAGTTTTGTTGTCATAAGCATTTTATGAAACGATAAGTGATACAAATAACCGAAAATGCTGTATCCTTTTTATATGTGTAATCTCGATTGCAGGGCTACAAATAACGGCCTTGTCGTATCCAAGCATAATTTATACGCATTGAGACCAAGGCAATTGCCTTTATAATAACAGAAACCAGTACAATGCGTAAGGTTATCTCTTGATTCAGATGCCACAGTAGTAAAACTAAGAAACCCACAATTAAGCCACCTTACCCCAGAGCAGCTATCAACTATAATCTCACAGATGCTTAAAGTGTAAATAAGAACTACTCTTGATCAATAAGAAGAAATGACTCATTTTTGCAGTATTTTCTTATCTTTTACGATTTGATATATCACAGGCTCTGACTTCCCTTCTCTTCAAAGGTAGCAATCCTGCAAATGGGAAGCTTTTTTCGCTTTAATTCCCTCCTGCGAACCAGGGTTTGAATATCTTTATCACGCCATTCAATACAGTTTCTCTATCAGGAAGCTGCGTAATCGACTACGGTGTCCGTATATTTTTACAATTAGACCTGAGACAAATACAAGAATAGTATGTATGTTTTAATTGCTATTATTAATTTTCTAGCGGAAAAATATAAGAAATAATGCAAATAAAGTTTTATAGCTTTGTTCTTTAATTATCTGTGAGTGGAAAGGCCATTACTTCCAGTTTCGATAATCCTAACAACATGTTTAATAGTTAAGAAGATAATGAAACAATTGCTAATTTGCAACAGCAACTCATGGGGACTCGTCAGATGCTTGAACAAATCCTTGTTACGAAGCAGCAATAGATTGCTATGCCAACTAACGCACCGGATCCATTGATGATGACAGACTCGTAACATCAGCCTGGTGTGTCTCATGGTGTACTAGTCATTTACATCCCTTGAGCACCCGTTCTCAGTGTGATTGGACTGCCTCCTGATTTTTTGTCCTAATACTTTGAATTGGGTTGCTACATAAAACTGTATAAATCGATATATTTTGCATACAGTTTTATACGGTTTCATAATAAATGTATAAATCTGTGCATTTTTTCTATAGATCTGTACACAGAAAAATGAGGTTTCAGCATTTCGTCTCTACCCTTACCATAGTAATTACCGTTTATACATTATATACAACCATTAAACACAATAGATGATATGTTTAATAATGTACACTTTATATATATCTTAATTAGTCAGCAGACAAGAGAATAAACCAACAAAGAAGGATATATGCTTGTTCAGAGTTCGCATTGAAACCAAGACTCTAAGGCATCAAAGGCTTGACCTTGTTCTGCTTCAGTGTCTATGGCATCACTGGAGAGCGTCGGCTCGGTATAGCCGGAAGCAGAGAGAAGAACGTCGATAAAGTCGAACAGAGGCATATGTTTCTCGTCGGTAATGGCTTTCAAAGGTCAAGAAGTTCATCTAGTTACCAAGAGTGACTATATCTTCTTTTGGAACGATATCTGGAGAGCTAAGAATGAATTTGTAGAGTGAACGCTAATGTCTTGTTCGCCAGTGAATAGGCAAAGTATTAAACGGAGCCAGGTAAAGGCCGCTGAGGTTGCCAATGGTTCATCAGGCTGCAAAGAATGGACGAAGAGAGAGGCGCGAAGAGCATATGAAACCAAAGGCTGATGATCTCTCAGAACTATAAAGGATTGTACTGGGCAGAGGTTGCGGTTCTCATGAGGATGCGCTGTGAAAGGCTTAATGATTCGGCGATGGTTCATTGCTTCTTTTGGCGAAACGATCTGAAGTGTCAAATGATAAGCAGACATGAGTGACATGATCTGAAAATTGATCTGGTGTAAATCAAATGAGCAACAGAAGGAGATCATCGCTAAGAGAAGCGCAATATTTTCCTGCAAAGATGCTAAAGACGCTGTGGAGCATGAAGGTACACCCTAGCAAAACGGAGAGAATGGGTAATATATCAATGGTTGGTCGATAGATTGATCAAGGCGACTCACGCCTAGCTAATGTATTCAAATATGCACTGACAAGGCGTGTATCATTTGCTACCGACTTTTTATCTGCAGAGCTATAAAATAGTTACCACATTGTTTTCATTAATTGTTATGACTTTGTTAGTATTTTTCAAATTTTTGTGGTTTAAGTTATTATGTATATAGTTATGTGGGTATTTGAAAGCTAGATAGCAAAAAGGCTTAAAGAACAACACGTGTGGGAATGGAAGCGTAGAAACGCTTGTGATTAATAGCGGTTCATGAATGTTTGGACACGGTGTTGAATATCATAAAGTATTGTCATAAAGCTAAATAGTTGACTGTCAAAAGTCATGGACCAATGGTATTGCAAAACAGAAGCAAGGGTGTAGCCAAGGGTAACGGGCGCAGGCAGATAATACTGATTTTTGAATGGTGGAAGCTAAAAGTAGAAAGGTGCTTGGGATAGGGTTGGAACAGAAAAAGGTGAATCAAAATGTGTATTCCCCCATTGTTTTCCAGATGAACTGCTTGTTAGGAAAACCAAAGGTGAAGTGAGCTATGTCTCCCACCGTAGAAAAACAGAGAACGCATTTATCCAAGTCGAAGATAGTAGGTGAGAGCTGAAAGAGGATAGAACGGCTCGATATTTTGGAGTGTAATACCTGAAACCATATATTACAACTCTGTACTGTAAGAGAAAAGGACCAGTATGTCTTCCACTTGTGAGCGGTAAGTGCCGAATGAGTAGAAGATTTTTTCTGAGATGCTATACATGCTTGGCGGTATATCTTGGACTTGAGCATCAGGATACTATCAGATGGTATTAAACATACCATGATTGGAGGAATTGTCGGAACTCAACCCGCCACTGCAGACTTAAAAGAGAATAGGCTGATAGGTAAGGTGTGCAAAAATTAGTAGAAGGACTTCGTAGAGAATATCGTCTTTTCAGGGACTGCTTTTACGAGCTTAGCGACGTACAACTTCTAAAAAAATCATCCACGTTTAAAAAGGCATCAAAGCAACAACAGTCAAATGTTACACTCGACTCACAGATGGATGCAGATAGTCAAATCATGAGTGTAGAAAAATCCACGCCAGAGCCACCGGTTAAGCGTACAAGGGATAAAGACAATAGCTATGACTTTTAAGTAAAATAAATACACGCATTTTATTATTTCTTTGGATAGTAAACAGCCCCAGAACATGATCCACTAGTAGGACTGTCTGTAAGTTCATAATTATCACGGCCACGGACATAAAAGTAAAGGGCGACATCAGTTAATGTGCCTGATCGATCACAGTTCAACATGGGTTGCGCACCAAGGCGGGATTGGATGGCATCAACAAAGGTATTTACATTATATGTATTGCCTGGAATGACGCCGCTTAAACTATATAGTGTATATATATGTGAATACCATTGATAATGATAACCATTTCATTACCTGAGAGCACCATAGACGTCATATTCATCACGGAGATCAAGTGCTTTCTGTAAATAAAAGTTGAATAAACAAATACATGTGTGCATATAAACATACCTCGAAATACTCTGGAATTTCTTGATATTTAACATACTTATCGCCATAGCAAGTGGGACGAAGGGTGCTTACACAGGTACCATGCTTATTCCATTCATGAGACCAAAAGCTAAATGAAATAATTTTTTAGCTTATCTTTTGTATTTGATATCATTATGATGTTACACATTGTTATCTCCTTTGTAACTAGGCCAAAAAGTATTCATACGGTTATATAGCGTGCCATTCGCCGATTTGATAATTGAAGCAATATTGTTCAAGTTCCTGCTTGAATCACAGCCATTGGAAGGAGCATATGTACCATCACATTTATCGGGCCAGAGACCTAATAACTTCAATAAGAACAAGAATCTATATTAATTAAAGACAACTCAAGTTTTACCGTGGAGAGTGAATTCATCATTAGGGCCATACCCAGGTACCCATTGAAGATTAAGGACGACAAGACCATACTTGGGAGAACAACAAGAATCTACAGTTCCAGACCAATGACAAGATACAGTATCGGCTAAGTCATATTAGATTGATGACGATTATACTTTTTTCTGTTGCACTTACGGCTACAAGAGGATTGAGCAACGACTAAGCCAAGTAAACTTTCCAGAGCAAGAGCAAGAGCAAGTTTTGTTGTCATAAGCATTTTATGAAACGATAAGTGATACAAATAACCGAAAATGCTGTATCCTTTTTATATGTGTAATCTCGATTGCAGGGCTACAAATAACGGCCTTGTCGTATCCAAGCATAATTTATACGCATTGAGACCAAGGCAATTGCCTTTATAATAACAGAAACCAGTACAATGCGTAAGGTTATCTCTTGATTCAGATGCCACAGTAGTAAAACTAAGAAACCCACAATTAAGCCACCTTACCCCAGAGCAGCTATCAACTATAATCTCACAGATGCTTAAAGTGTAAATAAGAACTACTCTTGATCAATAAGAAGAAATGACTCATTTTTGCAGTATTTTCTTATCTTTTACGATTTGATATATCACAGGCTCTGACTTCCCTTCTCTTCAAAGGTAGCAATCCTGCAAATGGGAAGCTTTTTTCGCTTTAATTCCCTCCTGCGAACCAGGGTTTGAATATCTTTATCACGCCATTCAATACAGTTTCTCTATCAGGAAGCTGCGTAATCGACTACGGTGTCCGTATATTTTTACAATTAGACCTGAGACAAATACAAGAATAGTATGTATGTTTTAATTGCTATTATTAATTTTCTAGCGGAAAAATATAAGAAATAATGCAAATAAAGTTTTATAGCTTTGTTCTTTAATTATCTGTGAGTGGAAAGGCCATTACTTCCAGTTTCGATAATCCTAACAACATGTTTAATAGTTAAGAAGATAATGAAACAATTGCTAATTTGCAACAGCAACTCATGGGGACTCGTCAGATGCTTGAACAAATCCTTGTTACGAAGCAGCAATAGATTGCTATGCCAACTAACGCACCGGATCCATTGATGATGACAGACTCGTAACATCAGCCTGGTGTGTCTCATGGTGTACTAGTCATTTACATCCCTTGAGCACCCGTTCTCAGTGTGATTGGACTGCCTCCTGATTTTTTGTCCTAATACTTTGAATTGGGTTGCTACATAAAACTGTATAAATCGATATATTTTGCATACAGTTTTATACGGTTTCATAATAAATGTATAAATCTGTGCATTTTTTCTATAGATCTGTACACAGAAAAATGAGGTTTCAGCATTTCGTCTCTACCCTTACCATAGTAATTACCGTTTATACATTATATACAACCATTAAACACAATAGATGATATGTTTAATAATGTACACTTTATATATATCTTAATTAGTCAGCAGACAAGAGAATAAACCAACAAAGAAGGATATATGCTTGTTCAGAGTTCGCATTGAAACCAAGACTCTAAGGCATCAAAGGCTTGACCTTGTTCTGCTTCAGTGTCTATGGCATCACTGGAGAGCGTCGGCTCGGTATAGCCGGAAGCAGAGAGAAGAACGTCGATAAAGTCGAACAGAGGCATATGTTTCTCGTCGGTAATGGCTTTCAAAGGTCAAGAAGTTCATCTAGTTACCAAGAGTGACTATATCTTCTTTTGGAACGATATCTGGAGAGCTAAGAATGAATTTGTAGAGTGAACGCTAATGTCTTGTTCGCCAGTGAATAGGCAAAGTATTAAACGGAGCCAGGTAAAGGCCGCTGAGGTTGCCAATGGTTCATCAGGCTGCAAAGAATGGACGAAGAGAGAGGCGCGAAGAGCATATGAAACCAAAGGCTGATGATCTCTCAGAACTATAAAGGATTGTACTGGGCAGAGGTTGCGGTTCTCATGAGGATGCGCTGTGAAAGGCTTAATGATTCGGCGATGGTTCATTGCTTCTTTTGGCGAAACGATCTGAAGTGTCAAATGATAAGCAGACATGAGTGACATGATCTGAAAATTGATCTGGTGTAAATCAAATGAGCAACAGAAGGAGATCATCGCTAAGAGAAGCGCAATATTTTCCTGCAAAGATGCTAAAGACGCTGTGGAGCATGAAGGTACACCCTAGCAAAACGGAGAGAATGGGTAATATATCAATGGTTGGTCGATAGATTGATCAAGGCGACTCACGCCTAGCTAATGTATTCAAATATGCACTGACAAGGCGTGTATCATTTGCTACCGACTTTTTATCTGCAGAGCTATAAAATAGTTACCACATTGTTTTCATTAATTGTTATGACTTTGTTAGTATTTTTCAAATTTTTGTGGTTTAAGTTATTATGTATATAGTTATGTGGGTATTTGAAAGCTAGATAGCAAAAAGGCTTAAAGAACAACACGTGTGGGAATGGAAGCGTAGAAACGCTTGTGATTAATAGCGGTTCATGAATGTTTGGACACGGTGTTGAATATCATAAAGTATTGTCATAAAGCTAAATAGTTGACTGTCAAAAGTCATGGACCAATGGTATTGCAAAACAGAAGCAAGGGTGTAGCCAAGGGTAACGGGCGCAGGCAGATAATACTGATTTTTGAATGGTGGAAGCTAAAAGTAGAAAGGTGCTTGGGATAGGGTTGGAACAGAAAAAGGTGAATCAAAATGTGTATTCCCCCATTGTTTTCCAGATGAACTGCTTGTTAGGAAAACCAAAGGTGAAGTGAGCTATGTCTCCCACCGTAGAAAAACAGAGAACGCATTTATCCAAGTCGAAGATAGTAGGTGAGAGCTGAAAGAGGATAGAACGGCTCGATATTTTGGAGTGTAATACCTGAAACCATATATTACAACTCTGTACTGTAAGAGAAAAGGACCAGTATGTCTTCCACTTGTGAGCGGTAAGTGCCGAATGAGTAGAAGATTTTTTCTGAGATGCTATACATGCTTGGCGGTATATCTTGGACTTGAGCATCAGGATACTATCAGATGGTATTAAACATACCATGATTGGAGGAATTGTCGGAACTCAACCCGCCACTGCAGACTTAAAAGAGAATAGGCTGATAGGTAAGGTGTGCAAAAATTAGTAGAAGGACTTCGTAGAGAATATCGTCTTTTCAGGGACTGCTTTTACGAGCTTAGCGACGTACAACTTCTAAAAAAATCATCCACGTTTAAAAAGGCATCAAAGCAACAACAGTCAAATGTTACACTCGACTCACAGATGGATGCAGATAGTCAAATCATGAGTGTAGAAAAATCCACGCCAGAGCCACCGGTTAAGCGTACAAGGGATGAAGACGATGATTATGACTTTTAAATAAACATACGTTTTATTAGTATTTCTTTGGAAAGCGAACATTTCCAGAACATGATCCCCTTGAAGTACTGTTTGTAAGTACATAGTTATCACGGCCACGGACATTAAAAAAGAGAGAAACATTAGTCAATGTGCCTGATCGACTACAGTTCAACATAGGTTGTACACCAAGACGGGATTGAATGGCATCAACAAAGGCGTTTGCACTGTGATTAGTGCCTGGGATGATACCTTTTGAACTATATAATGTGTAAATATATATATGTGAATACCATTGATAATGATAACCATTTTCATTACCTGAGAGCACCATAGACGTCATATTCATCACGGAGATCAAGTGCTTTCTGTAAATAAAAGTTGAATAAACAAATACATGTGTGCATATAAACATACCTCGAAATACTCTGGAATTTCTTGATATTTAACATACTTATCGCCATAGCAAGTGGGACGAAGGGTGCTTACACAGGTACCATGCTTATTCCATTCATGAGACCAAAAGCTAAATGAAATAATTTTTTAGCTTATCTTTTGTATTTGATATCATTATGATGTTACACATTGTTATCTCCTTTGTAACTAGGCCAAAAAGTATTCATACGGTTATATAGCGTGCCATTCGCCGATTTGATAATTGAAGCAATATTGTTCAAGTTCCTGCTTGAATCACAGCCATTGGAAGGAGCATATGTACCATCACATTTATCGGGCCAGAGACCTAATAACTTCAATAAGAACAAGAATCTATATTAATTAAAGACAACTCAAGTTTTACCGTGGAGAGTGAATTCATCATTAGGGCCATACCCAGGTACCCATTGAAGATTAAGGACGACAAGACCATACTTGGGAGAACAACAAGAATCTACAGTTCCAGACCAATGACAAGATACAGTATCGGCTAAGTCATATTAGATTGATGACGATTATACTTTTTTCTGTTGCACTTACGGCTACAAGAGGATTGAGCAGCAACTAAACCGATTAAACTTCCAAGGGCAAGGGCAATTTTTGTTGTCATAAACATGTTGTAAAATAATAAGAAATAGAAATAAATGAAAATGGGGTACTCCTTTTATATGTATAATCTCGATTGCGAGGTTACAAATAAAATATTAATTTTTGGCATGGCAAAGTTTCAATAGGTTTGATCAACTAGGAAGTGACTTGCACCTTCTAAATGTCACACGACTAAATCACACGCATTACAACTGTACATTATATCCACAGGCTATTGGCCAGCTTCTTTTTGACTAACTTGAAAAATAAAATACAGTCGCTTTCGATACTTTTCGCCTTATTTAGAAAAGGCATTCATTACCTTTAGTTTTCCATATGCCAACTGTCAAGCAGTTACAAGCAGGACTTGCCACTGCCAAGATTGAACTCGGTAGGCGATTTCCTTATAATTCCTTTACTGTTGTTCGTCCATCTGAACCAAATTATCCATAGCAGCTTATATTTTCCCAACCCCTGACTTCTCCTCCTCTTCAAAAGGCAGCAAAGCATACAAATGGGAAGCTTTCTTCGCTTTAATTCCCTTCTGCAAGCCTGGGTTTCAAATATCTTTATCTTGCCATTCAATGCCATATCACCTATTAGTCAGCTGCATAGCTGATTGCGATGTCTGTAAATTAACAACAGTTGTGTCTTCATATGCATTAATCTGATCGTCATATATATATATATATTTCGTACGCAATGACGATGAAGTTAAGCCTTACTCATAGTTAAAAAGGTTTGAGATCACTGTTCATGTAGTTAGCTTCAATGATTCAATATACACAACACTTAACCACCAGGATAGGGTAGATTTTGCCTTTAGGCGCTTTCGTTAACCGACGCATTTGCATCCTGATCAGCGTGCCATTACCTGTCCTCTTTATTGGGAAAGGCTATTCTGATACTCCTTGTCTAAAATTGTCCACATAGATCATAAATGAGCACGCTTGTCATTATCTTCTTAACCCTTTGAGCTCAGAAGGAGATTTTATCTTGTCTGGGCGATCGTTTCACTATTATGAATGTATTTTCATTTATTCCCTGATTACAAAAAATGTGTTACATTACACTGTTTTATTCATGGTTTTAAAAAATAATAATAGAACATAGTTTTCCCTACTTGAGTGTCTCTTATACCAAATGATGAGTGTACCACACACTGATCGTCTTCTTTTCAGCAACTTAATGATTGGTCAATACTTTGTGTGTATCCTTCTTTACTGTACTGCAATTGACCAATACATGACTACAATAAAGGAATGTGTTTCTTGATAATGCCAGCCATTCTACAAAGATACTGCTTATTTAATTGTGTTTAATTAAAGTGTAAAGTACACTTTTGATAATTCGAGATATGGAAAGTATTTCCAAAAATGTTTAAAACATCAACTCAAAATATTGCAACCGTCATGGGACAAAAAAAACATATTAAAGGAAGGCTATGCTTCCTTACATTTTCAACGCGACAAGTATACACACACATGCACTCTCTCTCTCTCTGTCGAACCATGATATCTTCATCAACTGAATATACAACTGTGATAACCTTTGGTTGGTAATATTTTGTGTGCCATCAAGACTTGTATTACGATTAAAATATAGATAAACTCTCTTTTCACTGTCTAATCATTCACTGTGCTTTTTTCATGTGTATTTTATTGTTGTGCAAAACGATCCTTTTATTCAGCTTGATCTTGTTGCTGCTGTAACACGTGACTGGTATCCCTTCGCTTCTTGACAATCACCACTCTCTTCTTTTGCACCTTTTCTTGTTCTTCCAAGAATGCCGACTTGTCATTCTGATCATATGCTGGACAAGGTAACAATGTTGGTCCTGCCACTGTCAACACAGCTCCAGCCGCCACAGCAGCAAATAAGTTGGATGTGATTCTCTGCTTTTGTGAGTGATTGAGATGACGGACTTTCCACATTAATGTAACAGTTGATGGGTGTCGTCCTCTAATTGACTTTTTTCCTTTGTAACTGTTTAATTACTGATTGTGAACCAAGGAAAAAGCGCAAGAAAAAAAAAAAAAAACATGTCAGAATATTTCGGTGGTTAAAATTTCTTTGCCCTGTCTTCAGTGAATGTGTGTCATTTTCAAATTCAGTTGATGACTTAATTGATCTGCATTTGCGTGGCTGACTTGAACATGCTTTAATGCCATAGAGTTCATCAAGACTGACGCTTTAAGAATAACAAAGAGAAAAAAAAGATAAACTTAAATATGCATCTTGCATGCATAAAGAAAACACAAATTACGCTCTACTGTTCAAGTCACCGTACTATAATAACTTCTCTGAGCTCTTAGACAGTCAGCTACCGTCATAGTCACCTTCAATTACTGTTTGAATGTACTTTTTATTTAAGATGAGCTTATCAACTTCCAAATGAGATGCGTACCATCTTGAGTGAAGTTTTCGATTTCTTAGGTATTGAAGCGAATATAATGGAAAGACCAAGGCTATAAAAAGAAAAAGACGATGGTTTTGCATCAAACAAATAAGCAGCTTTCTATTATAAAATAAACAAAGAAAAGAAAGAAAAGACAAAGAACCAAAAGTTTACTCTCGAAAAAAAAAAGAGTTTAGCATGGATTGTTCAATTTGAGTAAGCGAGCAGGATAATCCTGGAATGAGCTTATGGAGAACCAGCGTTCACAGTACGACTTTGTGAGGACAACTGCAGAAAAAATGAGACGTAGTTTCATCAGAGCAACCACAGAATGAACACGACACGGAATGGTGTTGACTTGGAATAAGGGTATGTAAATGTTGTTTGCAAGGGATCGTTCGATGTAACAACCGATACCACGCATTTCGCGCTGCTGGAAGGAGCGGTAGTCGTCAGAAGGCGTCCATGATACAGGAGACGCTACAGGTCCGTATTGTTTCCGTTCCAAGGCTCCTTGTGACAATAAATACTTACGATAAGACTGAGGACGGAGATGAGGACCTAAATTACCCACTCTAGGAATACTGGGTCGACAAAGAGGTGTCAATCTGGTGACCACATCTAGGTCAGTTGTAGAAGCACTTCCGGAGATGTACAAAGGCAGGAAGACAGAAGACAGTAGAACGTGTCCTTGAAGGAGTAAAGCAGTAGTTTTACGACAAAGCTGTAGAAAGCGAGGATATTCGTTAGCTGTCTGCAGGCGAAGGTTAGCGCAGTCTGAGGGTCATGGATGATAATATCACTGATCAGAATCTTGTGAAATCCTGTATTAGCAGGAGACAGTGTTTGCAGAATGTCGGGCATGTAACAGTGGGAAGGACGTTCAGTGGGACTTATTAAGTCACAGTGGATCGGCATAGCCAAGAAGGCCTTTGCATTCAGGCTAGAGATGCCAGTGTTTCATAAACTATAGCAGTATTGAATATCTAACACTGAATCTATAATATGTATAGTGCATTGAACGGGATATTCTTTATTTCCAAGAAGAATAATAAATATGGAATCGACAAAGAAGTGTATGAACAGATGATAAATGAATTGGAAACTAAATTCGCCCCTTCCTTTGACGAAGCTCAAGTTGATTATTTTCAAATCGGACATCTAAGAAAAGTATACAAGGTATTGTATTGTGATTTTAGCACACGGACATTATTTCTAATCTATTTAATAGAAGGCCATGAAAGACACCAGGTTGGCCAGAAAGATGGCGTTCGATATGGCGTTCGATCTGACAGCTGATTCTCGCAAGCAACTAGAAGCGATGATGAACGAAGCTGTAGCTAACATGTAAGGTTAAAATGGCTCCATTTAAAGTGAGTAGCTAATTCGTTATAGGATAAGGGAACTAGAATCCGTCTGCGGCTCTCACCATCTAGAAGACAAATTCAGAGCAAGATTTGTCACTCCTCTTCTGTCGTCTTTCTTCAAAGAGACCAAACATTTCGCTTATTTTGGGTAGGTTATTTATACATTTTACAAACTAGGTGAATTAACTTTAAATTTGTATTCATTGTTAGTTCCGACGAAGAAGCATTGGGGAGCAAAACAAGAAAGGGTGGACTAGGCCGTAAGTCAAATGGAGGATATAAGGTCATTTACAACGACTACGAACAGCAAATAATCCACGTTGAAGTCAAGGGTCCTAAAATAGTTACAGAGGATCACATATATCACCCTGATTTTACAAAACTCTGTAACTTGCTGAAGGATGAGATTGACCATTTGCTGTCGAAAGACTGCCCTACCGAAATCCCAGTCTTTGGAATGCTTATTGGCGGTAAGTGAAGGGCTAGGGATATTTTTACACAAGATAAACTGAAAGTTACATTGTAATTAGGACACAAGGCATCGGTATACGCCATGGATTTAGTCTATACACACACGTATAGACTATTTGAGATTGGTGAATTTTTAATTCCTCATTCCAATCTTGATCTAAGTCGTTTGGACCAGTGCTTTAACGTGTTGATCACTCTGAAGGTTAAATTTTAATACCAAATAGATAATTGTATTTGCTTTACTAACTGTCAAGAATATTAGGAATTGGTGGATAAATCCTCCAAACAATGCTTGGAGTTTTTGATGAAAGCCGCCACTCCTGGAACGCCTCCAGCACGAAGGCAGCTTTATGTCAAGTCTTTTAGGAGCCCCCAAAAAAAGTCCGAATAAAAGCATCTCTTTTGTTAAAAAAAATATATAACATTCGCTATATAAAATGCAGTATTTATTTACAAGTGTTTGTCAAAGAACTGGGAATTAGACGCTTTACAGTTAGAGGTTTTGTTTATATGTGACATAAGAGGGTTTAAAGAACATGACTTGACAATTGAGCATTGCCTTCATTGTTTAATTTATGTGGAATACACGGTAAGCAGGATCAACCAAAGTGGAATCAATTAAGAAGAATCAACCAAGTAAAGAGACTAAAAAGTAAGCGTATTGGCAGTTGACACAGAGAAATTCCTAAGGCTTGACCGGATATCTTTCCTAGTATATAAGGGTATTAAAGGCTATATTATTTAAGCAAAAGACTAATAGTTTAAATACCCTTTTTTTTTTTAAAAAAAAAAAGCAGGTAATGGGGGCTCATCTTCACACTACAGCCAGCAAGGATATATGCCACCTATGAACAGATTTCCCTATGCTCACGCATAGCGAACCCTTTTTTTTATCGCCCTCATAAACAGTTGAATACCTAGTGAGGGTCAAGTCATAGTTATGACACTACGGCAACAACCATCAAAACAGCTGTATTCGTCACCTCTGTTGCTATTCAACAACAGCAGGTCAAGCCGACATTATGAAAGGGAAATGTGAAAAATGAACTAATGCAAGGAAAAGAAGAATAAATGAAGAAGAATAAGAAAAAGAAAAAGAAAAAACGCGAAAATACACGCAGCAATAAAATTAGGATGACGTACATAATTGTTGCGATTTACTCATATACACGCGAAAATGCTATGAACACCCCACCTTTATGATTGGTTGATTTGAGCTTATGCTCGCATGAAGGAATGATTTGACTTGCAAAAGCATGAATTGTACAAAGGTACGCACAAAATACTTTCTTTTAAAAGTGAATGCTAAAGTAACTTGAAATTTGTAGATAAAATGAAACATTACAGGAATGTTGAAAGAATCCTTAGTAATTACAAATTCTGCTCCTCCACTTAATTGTTGGCTCGATTCCCTAGACAGCCTTAGGTTAGGCAGAAAATTTAATAGTGTAAAATTGTATAGCGTCTCTACATGTAGCGCCCCAAGGAAGCGTCCGTAGCACTAGCCTATTTTTGAGTACATTTTTTGAGTGCACCAAGCATTTGCCAAAATAAAAGGCAATTCAGACTTTTAGTGTTGTGTCAAGCTAATAACACAATTCTTATCAAAATGATTTAATTTATTCTTTAAAATAACTTTACATTTGGTAAACGAGACATGTACAAAGGTAGCTTGTTTTCTTTTGGTGCCCTGCTATGACCAAAATATACTTACCCAGCCCAGTACCATACGTATGCCCAAGTAATGCCTTCAGAGTGCTGTATGTTTGTTTGCCAGGATTACCCAATGCGCCTAGACCGTCGTAAAGAAGAATGCTCATGAGCAAACTCACTTGATAAAGAGCAGACGACAATTGTTTGCACCAGACAGTCATTTTACATACCACCATTTCTTCATTCTTCCTTCTCTCTCCACTGTTCCCAAAAAAGATGGTCAAGCAGGTTCACTTTTTCCGCCCTTTATATATCTTCCATCATAATCATGGCGAAAGAACCAGCACACTCGGCAGACTTTTCTACAGGGAGAAAAGCAACTTCCAGAAGAGCAACGGCAAGAATAGGAGTAAGCTTCTTGAGTACTTGGTAAGTAGTCAAAGCCACTTTCTTGGCCAGAGGATGACGAACGACGGGAGAAGCAAAAGAGAAAGCATCAAAAAGACAATTAAAGGTTTTAGACATGAGTTAAAGAAAATAAGAGTGGTTAATAATGGAAAAAAAAAAAAAAAACTAAACAAAAGTGTGTCTCTTTTTATATGCCAAACGGTATAATTTATCAAAAATACAGCATGGGCTTGGCAACTTTTACCCTTTGATAAAATAGCTCCAGGAGCATAAACCTATTTTTATGCAATTAGAATCTTAGTAAACTGTCGTTTAGTCTAATGATAACCTCCCCTTTTTATCCACATATATGTTTATAACTATGATTTCATTTTATTTCAATAAACTATTTAATCAATTATGTGTACGTTTATGCAATGTTCAAGGAATTACTTTTGATAGAAAATATTACAATTTAGTAAAGACGTGAATATATTAAGATGTTTTTATTGTTATTGGTCTATAAAGTAACTTGATTGGGAGCCGTTGTTCTTTCCAATTCATCTATTGGCCGTAACTCATGTACAACTGCTTTGTTCTTCTATTCTATCATCCAAATAGACGATGTTATTGAATATCAAATGCTTTAATAACAGCAATAATCTGCAAGTGACCAGATTCTCTTTTACATTTCTTGATCAAAACTCGTTTATAGAAACCATTTTATCAATAATGAATGGTTCATTTTCAGCTGAATGAATAAAAAGGTAAACTTGATAAATCGAAAGTGTACGATGATCGCATTATTGATCAGAATAACTGCGGCAGAAATTACCATTGCGATTGACGAATCTCTTGGGGTTCCACAGTGGATGGCAAAAAGAGCCATAAAGAAACACAAAGAGTAACGCGATGAAGTTCCTTTTGCAGAGGGTAGCTAAAGTACGAAGTGGGGCAATATTGGGGTAAACCCTTTGATATTGAAAGCGGTAGCAATGACAATCAAAAAGCATACTTGTGCTACTCTTACAATATTGATTCACTAAGACCCTTCTGCTTACAAATGGCTGCTGTGATGTAGATAGCGACATTGATGGAGACGTTGAGCCTTGCAGGAAGCATTAAAAAGATGCAGAGCCATCACGATTGTATACAGTAAGAGTTGGAGACTGGGAACAACTGATCATTGACAACGTAAACAAGAGCCCAGAGACCAATTCCCTCTCTCTGCCAAATAAGAGACAAACAAATAAATGATCAATTTCGTTTTTCAGTGTAGCATTTCTATTAATACTAAATAAATAAAACTAGTCTATTTTTTATGGGTGACTTGAGTGAGTTCCTCTCTTGGTGCTCATGCCAATGTTTTACAATGGATGTATCAAGAGCGAAAATAAACGCGATCCGATATACACTCTAAAGATTATTGCAGTGATGCTTATTAACATGAGTAGAATATACATGATATGTAAATACGAACTAGAGAAATATTCTTTAAAATAATAAAGCTTTTTGGGTCGATGGACTCATTGTTTCTCTTAAAGTTTATTTTGTAATATCAAAAAGGACTCAATAAAGAAAGTAACGTTTAGAAGGGAGGAATATCTGATAATTTACATTATTTATTTCTACTCTTTTCTTCCATCTCCTTTTGACGCTCCAACTCAGCCTTTGCCTTCTTTCGCCTCTGTCTCTCTTCAAAGCTACAGGGAAATCAATACATTATTTGGTTTATTCTCGGCATACTTACATCTTTCTGTTTTCTATAATGCGATGAATGATATCCTCTGTCGTAATTGTCGACTTGGGTGTCTCTATTTGCTTATAAATACCCAACTTTTTTGGTAACTCATAAGGGTCTCGTCCATCCACATCTTTTTCCAAGTGCGTTGTGCCATGAACAACAAGGGACACTTTATATTCTCCTTTCAGAATTTCATCTGTCACACTATAGGGTGCACCAATGATGACCTCGTCTACATACTATTTACACAGTATGTTAGTTCATATATCATTTAGCAGGTTTTTTTTTTTCTTTTTGTACCCGACAAGCTAAGACACTCAGTGCACGTTCATGTAAATTCATCAATGGATAATTGGCTCCCTTGATCGTATTGACTGTTTGGTCATCATGAATACCAACAATCAAGAAATCGCCCAAGGCCTTGGCACGCTTGAGGAACTCGATATGACCCACATGGAACAAATCAAAGGTACCATCAACATAGACCACCTTATCTGTCGGCTTGGGCTCTCTTCCTTCCGAGAACTGCACAATCCTTCGTGACGTCGGTAAGAAATGAGAGATGGTTGCTGTCTTGGCTCCATTGGCACTAAAGGGTCCAAGTTCACTCGTATCAAAAGTAGACATGATGGATGTATTGCTACTGGTTGATGCTCGACGTTTATGGTGGTCTCGGGTCATCAGTAGCATACGTCCTACTAACTCTGTGGTTGATACACCGACGGTACGTTTGCATTCTCTATAGAGTCCAGCATCCTTGACAGCTTGATAACAATCAGTACCATCGGCCATAGTCGTAATGTCATCTCCGTGTACACAAAAGTCAATGTTGTGTTCTTTAAGAATCTCGACGGTTGTGTTGTAAGGCGCGTTAGGAACTACTTCATCAACCCATTTACAGGCAGCAACAGCAGCATATCTAATTAGTTTGAGTCATGTGTCTAATATAAAAAAAGAGAGATTTACCTTTCATCTTCCTTCATCACTGTAGGTCCCTTATTCTTTTCAATATCAGCGTCTGAGTGAACACCAACAACAAGGACATCACCCATCGCTTTGGCCTGAAAGATATTGAGGTCAATTGTTTATATAGTATATATATAATCTTACCTGTCTCAAGGCATTAGCATGACCATAATGCATTAAATCAAAACAACCATCAACCCAAACACTAATACACACAAAGGGTCAGTCTCTTTGTAAATCTAGTAGATCTTTACCGAATAGGCTTCTTTTGACTTGTCATTGGAAAATATAAAATAAAGAGAGAAAAGAAAGTTTATTATTATTATTTCCAACGGATCAATGACGGGTCTATTTTACGAGCAATTTTTATATTCCTTGTGTTGATCGTTTCATTCAACATATTTTCAGTAATGCAAATATGATCTCTGTCTTGATCCTTCTTTCTAAATCTTAGTAAATCCAATCTTGATAGAGTATCAATTACATCTTGTTCATGTATGCAGGTCTCTTTTGATATTTGTTCAATAGTCACATCACCACGGAAATGTAAAAGTGTAGCCAAGATAGCAGAGGCCCAGTAAGATTGATAACCGAGAGCACCTAAATATGAAAGAGGCTTCTCAGGTGAGCCTACTTTTCCTTCATGCTTTGATAATTCATAGCCTATGTGTTTATTATAATTAGATCCTTGTCTATCCGTATTTGACTGTCTTACTTAGTTCTATTAATAGTGTCCCAAATCCCTTTCTTTGGTGTGATGGTAGTGTCATTATACAGGCAAGATTATAGTTATCGTAGGATAGTTTCTCCTTTGAAAAGAATCCAATCAATTCTTCGTAGCTTTTAAATTTACTATTTTGTTCTGCCAACACATAAAACTTGAATCCTTCGACATCATAATAAAGTGTCTTGTTATCCAAGAAGAGTTTGGCCAACAGGCACAAGCTTTGACAGTAAAGCTATATATATATATATAAAGAAATATATAAGCACGTATGTACTTTTTCCTTCTAGGATTTACCTTGTGTTCTTGTCCATCCACTTCATATACTTTAATCTTTCCATTTGCATAAACCATTCTTCCTGGTGGTTTTTTCTCTTTACATATTGCCTGAATAATAACAAAATGAATATACATCGTTTTGATCACTGTTTTTTTGTTTTTACTTTATGACTCTCTAACTGTGCCTCTTTATTCATGTATCGTAAACAATATTCACAAACATAAAGTCTATCAATCTTTGATCCAAATTCAGTTGGGTAAGGTGAATAATACCAAGCATCGATTTCATATTTCCCATAGACGAGCTTATTTACATTAGGCTCTGGTGTATCTATGATCTGAGGTGGTGATGTCTCTCTACGTGTTTTGGCCTATATGTATATCATATTTGATTAATACACGACTTTTATTATTGTATACTTAAAGTACATCGTCATGGTTACTACAACTGTTGCCGGTAGTTTCATTATTATTATTATCATTATTAAAGGGCTCTTCTTCTTGTTGGTTTACTCTATCTAAAAATGTATATTCAATATAAATCTCATCATCAAAAATATGAGTAAAACAAAGGATTTATTTCTTTACTATGACTACTATGACTACTACTAATACTAATACGATGACTACTACTATTACTATTACTATTGCTGCTACTACTACTAATATGATCATGTCCCATAAGCGTCTTCACTCGCTTGCTGGGTTCATCACCTTTGTTCATATATAATCTCATTAACTCTTTGACGCGTTCTTTATCTTATCCCCCTCTGCTTACTTTCTATTGGTGATCTCTTTCTTTCATTCGTCATCTGCTTTTTTGTTTATTAAAAAGAAAAAAGAAAAATATTTATTCACATTTGAGACAGAGAAAGAAAGGCGGGGGAAGGAGAGAAAATTTCACTGCGGACTTAATCTTTCTTTTTAAGTAAACCATTCTTTTCATATTCCATGAGTTCAGTGCCAATAGCTTCAACTACCTTGGAAAGGTCCTTTCTTGCTTGATCTTCACTTTCTCCACGTAATTCACTATAATACTTGATCTTGGGCTCTGTTCCACTATAATACATTGTCAACATATATATGTAGATTAAATATATACATACCTTGTTCTAATCGTAAATACTGTATTGTTTTCTAAACGGAAAGTAATCATTTCTGATGAAGAAGATACAGGCAGAGTAGGCTCATTATCTTGTGTTGATGAATCATATCCAATAGTCAAGTCACGAATAGATGTCACCTTATGACCTCCCACTGTTGTTGGATAGTTTAGTTGATAGCCAAACTATATTATCATAAGTATTATGGACAAAGAAACCTTACATAACGTTTACCTTTGACGTATCGTCCTTTTTATCTGTTCCAAATCGAATACGTTCAAATATTCTCTTGATCTTTTCCTTATCATCGCAGATAAAGTAAGAGTTTTCGGATACAAAGTAACCATACTTTTTATACAACTCTTCCAAATACTCATAGGCTGTCAATCCACGTTTATAGAGTTGAACTGCCCATTCAGAGAAGAATCCCAAGGCACTGACACCATCTTTATCCTTGACGATATCTCCAATAGTAAAACCAATAGCTTCTTCATAAGAGAACACAACCGAATATCCTTCCTTTTCGAGTCGCATGGCTGTATTACCAATCCACTTGAACCCAGTTAGAGCTTCTTCAAATCTGAATCCCTCTACCTCTGCCATACGAGCCAAAAATTTAGAAGATACCGTACTGGCTACCATAGCGATTTGCTCTGTACAAAACATGATCAGCATGGGTTTATATATACATATATAATAACCTCACCAGATTTCTTTCCAGATGCAATGGCCTTTTCAAAGGAGGCTGCGCCCAAAATGGAGCCGATTTGGTTACCGGTAAAGATAATCCATTCACCACTACAACAAATGATGAGCAAGAGTTATATACAATAGTATTCCCTCATTTTTTACTTTGACTGTTTCTCAGCAATAGCAAGTCGATCAGCATCTGGGTCATTAGCCAGGATGATATTTCCACCTGCTTGATCTGCGGTTTGGATAGCTAAGGTCTAGAAACATAAGATGAATTAGAAAACAGTGCTTATTAAAGACTTGCACTTTACCAATGCACCTTTGCCTTCTTCAGGATTAGGAAAAGCAACGGTAGGAAAATCAGGGTCAGGGGTAATCTGTGCCTCTACAACGGTAAATGGTGGCAGTCCAAAGCATTCAAAGGATCGCTTGGCAAAGGGAGTACCAACACCGTGCATAGCAGTATACACAAACTTGACCTGAGTTGCTTCATTATCGGATCGGTATTGGCAAAGATCTTTTACTTCTTCAAAGTAAGAGTCAATGATGCCTTGATCAGTCGGATCGCTCACCAGGTCGCTATTGTTCACTGCTTCATAATCCCATACCCAAGGTGTCAAATTCTCCATGATGGCCGATGCAATACCTTCGTCATGAGGAGGAATGATCTGACAGGCATTCTCCCAATACACTTTATATCCATTGTCGTCCTTGGGGTTCTATTCACTATGATTAATATAAAGCATAAATCAAACAGTGGTTCTGTGTTACATGCGAGGCAGTAATCATCACACCACCAGCAGCGTTCAATTTCTTGATGGTATATGGCTATAAAGTTTTTTTTAAAAAAAATTCCCCTCCAATCCGTTTAGGCGTATGTGTGTGTCTTACCACTAAGGGGGTATGGACCAGGTCCTTGTAGTACCATACTTTGAACCCTCTTTGGATGAACGCAGAGGCGGTCAAACGAGCAAAGTCTAAAGAGTGGTGACGATGGTCATGTCCGACCACAATACCTCGTTCCTTTGCATCCTTGACGTTCTTTTCAATGTATATGGCAAGTCCTTGAGAAGCTTGAAGGACAGTCAAGTCATTCATTCTCGAGAAGCCTGCTTCCATTCTGGCACGAAGACCTATAAACATGATTTTAATTTTATGTTTCTTTATTGTTCTCTTTTTCATATTTACCAGCAGTTCCAAATTCGATACGAGTGGCAAGTCTTTTGGTTAACTCTTGAACGTTGTTTGCATTTTGAAGTTGAATTATTTCATTTCTAGTTTCTTCATTCTTTTTGTATATTATTCTCGGTTAATCAACAGTACTATGTCTCGAGTCTTTTTCTTACCTTGTCTAATGAAAGCCATTCTTCTACAAGTTGGTCTAGTGATGTCGTCATTTTATTTATACAGTGAAAGAAAAAAGACAGTATAGTGCTGTCATATGAAATTGTCAAATAGTCGCTTTTTAAAATTTACTCGAATTTGGCGGGAAAGGGCAATATGTACCTGTCTTACTTGAGTGAGAAACTCTTTTGTAGGGAGCTAAGTACATGTTCTCGTATACATCATAGAAGCGAAGGAGGCACTATCAGGCGACATTGAATCAATGAGTCCTTTAATATACTTGATATTATTTGAAAAGTCGGCACACTAGAAGGCACCATTATAATCACTTTAAATTGCTGTTGAGTATACTTTTTCGAGATTCATAGTTGTTATTCACTTTCTAAATGAAATTTTCATTAGCAAAGAACGTTCTTTCAAGCCTTGATTAGATTGCTTATGGAAAGTATATAATCCTGTTACTAAGTATAGTATTTGCTTGCTCTTGTTTTCATTGTCTTCCCTCCTCTTCCCTTTTTTTTGGTCAATCATTGAACCCTATGAGCTACCCATCTCTTGTCAACCTCATCAAGATCTTTATTGCTCGTATGATCACAGTGCCAAAATAAAAAGATGTAAAAATAGGAAATAACAAGTGAATACAAAGGATAATACATAGTCACTTGAGCTTCTGTTTTGCTCCATTCACGCATGTAAATGAATGAGACAAAGTCCATACTTGCTACTTTAGGATTGCTAGTATCATATAACCATACAATTTCTTTAATAACGAATATTATAAACAAACTCGATATAGTCAATGTTTATACAAAGTTCATTATCCTTCTTTCTTGGCTCAAAGGCCGATGACCAAAGATATGCAAACAATGAAGATAGAAAGCATTTAGATAGAAGAAGGTCGATAATCTCTGTCTCTTTCTATTATCATTATTTTACACTCAAAGAAACAAAACATATCTGCTCCCTACAAAACCCTTATTAAGCATGGTGACTATATTAATGATGTCCTTTTTGATCACTGCTTGGTCCTCATTGGCACGAAGAAAGTCAATTCAATTTATCGCAGCTTTTTGACCGATCGTCACAGAGCAGCTATCAGAGGTCTGATCCGTCAGTATAAAAACAAGACCAACAAGCTTAAAGATAGCTTGCTCGAGTAAGTCAATCGGAAGCAGAAAATGAACTGCTCGTTAACTATAGTTTTTACTTTATAGTCTTGACTGCTTCCGTCGTATGGAGGTGAAGGAACTGCGGGAGTTCAAAAAGCACCTTTCGTTGTACTGCCAGTGGTAAGAAAAAACGCTTTGCCTCTTCTTCACAACACTAATTCCTTTATTTCCAAGTGTTCATTCCAGCTCTGGCGTTGAGTTTCGTACAACAAAGGTGTACACTGGCTCTCCTGAAGTCAAGATGGTGGCGAGCGAAGTCCTTGGCACTCCCATGTATCTGACCCGCTGTGCTAGCGTCATGGCTAAGGTGACGGAACAACTGGATATTGGTGACGATTGTTGGTGGGTAATTAGCCGCCGCGGCCAAGATTATGTCCTGCCTAGCCCTATCCGGTTCTTTATTGTAAGTTACAACAATAGAGTATAAACTACATGACTTACTAAAGGACTTTAATAATATGATTACAGAAGCAATGTTACGGTAAGACAGGGTTCAAGGAACATGGCTATATCTTTATTTCCCTTCTCCTTTAACCCTTTATTATATCAATAATTTACTCTCCACAGCAGCATGAAGCTTGCTCCTCGCATAAACACAAAGGTCAAGGCTAAAGACGAGATCACTCTTTTCTATGGTGGAGACTATTTCGGTAAAAATAACGTCGAATGCCGATGCTTCACCTGTAGGACTATCAAAGGCAAAGCGCCCAGTCAAAGTTCCTCCCGCTCTGGTTCCAAAAAGCATTGATACGTCTAATGATGTATGTATAAAGACGGTATCATGGAATAAAATGTACTCTCACATAATTTGTTTGTTTTAGGGAATCGTAGTGATTAGTCTCCATTCTTTTTTTTTTTCGAAGAGTAAACTTTTGGTTCTTTGTCTTTTCTTTTCTTTGTTTATTTTATAATAGAAAGCTGCTTATTTGTTTGATGCAAAACCATCGTCTTTTTCTTTTTATAGCCTTGGTCTTTCCATTATATTCGCTTCAATACCTAAGAAATCGAAAACTTCACTCAAGATGGTACGCATCTCATTTGGAAGTTGATAAGCTCATCTTAAATAAAAAGTACATTCAAACAGTAATTGAAGGTGACTATGACGGTAGCTGACTGTCTAAGAGCTCAGAGAAGTTATTATAGTACGGTGACTTGAACAGTAGAGCGTAATTTGTGTTTTCTTTATGCATGCAAGATGCATATTTAAGTTTATCTTTTTTTTCTCTTT